CTGAGGTTTAAATTGCTGGTATCAAATTGACCCCAAGGATAAAAGATGTTAGTACATTTAAGTAAAACAATTATTCTCTATAGAGTTTCAATCTGGGCTCTGACCAGGACAAAACCACTAGGATGTTTTTATGTAGAAGTCATAACAACAAAATATAATATCACAACTTTCAGTACTTCCACCCTTTTCCTTTAGAAGCTTTAAAAGTCTTAGAGGTTGATTGCATTTTTTTTGCTTCTTACAATCCAAATAATCCAAATTTTAGACTCATCACTCCATTAAACCTTAATCCACACAATCTCTGAAGTCCAATTTCAGTGTCCCAGTGTGAATTTTCTTCTTTTCTGTCTGTTTCCTTTTCTCAGTAAAGGCTTCTTGACCTCTACTCATCCTTTCAGACCTGAACTGTTAAGGTGTCTTCTCACAAGTGCTGTTTATCTGATGAGGACAGTTTTGGTGGTCTACCATGATTATTAAGAGTCCCATTTTCTATTCTTGCGTTTCGTGTGACATCACACTGTGTAGTCGCTGCCATTTTGAGGACTGAATCAGGGAGTGACTGCGCTGCACGATGCCTTCAGTTTGCTGTGCTTTGTGAATGATTCACCTCCAAGACACGACAGAAGCCGAGAGACGAGAGATTCACAGACCTTTAATTCAGTGTTTTCACTCCAGGTTTGGAGCCGCTGCACTGTATAGTTTAGTGTTTCTCTCTGCTGTTCACCTCGTTCAGCTTAAGAAGGGATTAATTAGCTGATAATATCAGGTATTTTAACCAGGAACCCACAGTTATGCAGTGCAGTGGTTTCAGGACTGGAGCTGAACTCTGAACTAACTGCACTAGCAAACTTAAAAAATCACGTCTGTCGAAAAATGATATAGTTTTCCGATCCACGACATTCAGTTTGATATTTAACGTCTCCATTCTCCATTCAAACATCATTTAAATCTCCGGAAACAGAGAGTAAAGTTATACCGGCTGTTCGCAGCACCGTTAGGGGGCGACTGTTTATCTCTCGGCTGATAACATTAGTGAAAGTTATCTAAAGCCTAGCATTGTTTTCATCTGTGTTAATTAGCTGATGTCGTTACCCTCCTATGATGACAAAGAGTGTTTTCTCCTCTTTATGCAACACCATGAGATCCTTTACCCACCCTGACATGAAGAGGCGGTGGGCTTCTGTGCTGTTAAATGCTTTGAGAGACTCTCCAGAATAGGTGACATCATCAAAACTCAGAAGATGTTTTAGAGACAAGAATAAGTCACCACACTTCAATCAAAGATTATGGGAAAACAAGAATTTTGTTTGATAAATGATTTGAAATCATAATTGTGCTTAATATGACCAGGGACATGGACTAACAAGGTAAACAAGACCCCTTCCAATTACAGGCTGACTATAAAATTTAATGTATGTTAATGTAATGTAAGACCAAGTTTCCATTTCTATTGGTACGTTTATCATGAATGGTCACACAGTGTAAAGAGGTGGCTGCCATTTTTAAATGATAAATAAAAACAAACCTATTTATTTTTATAACAATAAATATGAGAGTAATGTTAAGAGGTTTTGGTGTGACAGTGTGTTTGACATGGCTGTATGCTGTTACATGCTTCCAGAGAACTGGGAATTGTGTTTGTTTCCCTATTATGAACAAGTCACTTCCAGGAATTCCAGGGAACTTGCATTTTACTGTTTTGGTAAACACACTTGACGCATGTGTTGAAAAATGCAGAACCTGTGACCTTTTGCCTTTTTTCGAGTTGCCATGGTAAAAGCACTTGTGTTAAAAGCTCACCGGTGACATTACAGCGGAACTTTTCTCTGAGCCTTGAGATCAAATCTTGGGGTCGTCTCAGGACACAGAATGAGGGTAACCACGCGGCCGTGACCGAGGCTGCTATTTTGCCAAGAAGCTACAGGTGAGCTAGAGCCTTTACTGGAGCAAAAATAAATAAATAAAATTACAAAGTTTCTCTGCTCTGTTCATATGAGATGAATGTTCAGAGTAAATGTGCTCTGGATGTCACTCTTTTCCTTGAGGCCAAAGGCTCTTTGAACCATAAGCCCACTGTTTACTGCCATGTATCTTGGGAATGGGTGTGATGATCAACATTTCAGGCAACCTTCAGAAGTTGGCCTAATCAGATGTGCCTTGGTAGTGTAGGGCTCCACACTGTAAACTGCAGGGCTTCTGGTTGGGGATGCCAGAATGGGCCACCAAAGGATTTAGGTACACAAGGTAATGTGCATCCTCTGATGCACTGGGACACATTATCAGTAGATTGGCCCTTGAGTATAAACCAGGGGTGTCCAGTCTTATCCGCAAAAGGCCGGTGTGGCTGCAGGTTTTGACTCAGGTGAAGCAGAAGCTCTCGTGTTCAGTTGTCCGAAGATTGAGGCCAACTAATTAAACAAGCAGAATCAAATGTAACTGAGCTTGTTTTGGAATGAAAAGCTGCAGCCACGCTGGCACTTTGCGGATAAGACTGGACACCCCAGTGTAAACTGTACACCATCACTGCTTAAAAAAAGGTGTAAGTTTTGACATTTGATCTGTAAAATGTTTCACATTTCGGTGTGGAGCTGGACTCTGTGGTTAAGGTGGCCGAGAGAAGGACACTGCACAAACTGCTCTCCATTATGGATGATGATGGCCACCCGCTGCACATCATCATCTTGGACAACAGGAGCTTAGTTTAGTGGCAGGTTGCTGTTATAGAGCTGCTAAACCGAGAGACTCAGGACATCCTTTGTCCCTAGAACCATTAGGCTCTTCAACTCTTCCTAGTGGGGCCAGAAGAGAAGAGAGAAGTGGGAAGAGAAGAGATGAGGACTCATATGCTGAATCATAGGTTTATTTTATCTATCTGCACATTTGGACACCTTACTGTACATATTGCACTTTCTGTACCCCTTTATCACACATCTTGCACACCTGGACACTTTATTTCAGTACCAATATATGTACATATTTATTCAGTATTGTCATTATATTCTGTTACCTGTGCCTCCTTGCACATTCATTATCACACTGCCTTTTTTATCTCAGGATAAATCTTATTGTATATTTTTGTGTATTTCTAGTTGTATATATGACTGTAGATAGGTTTTTGTATATGTTCTTCTTTTTATATTGTACCACCCTTATTATTATAACTGTGCTGTGTTGTGTGACTGATACTGGCTGTTAAATTTCCTTCAGGATCAATAAAGTATCTATCTATCTATCTATCTATCTATCTATCTATCTATCTATTGCTGTCAGTGTCAAGCCCTAATAACATCACACAGTTCACTTCAAAGTGTGGGGTACAAACACGCCTCATAATCTACAACATAACAAAACGTGTGCAACTCAAACCAATTGACACTAAAATTGAATTCAAGAGGGCAGTGCCAAAATTGTTTTTCAGCAAAGTTATTATTACTACTTAATATTTCGCCCCCTGTGGATTTACATGTTACACATCCTCTACAGGGAACCTAAAGATGGAATTTCTGCAAATTTCAGAGCACAGTTTCTATTTATTTGCCAAGTTTAACATATTGGACAGACATAAAATATATTATATATGTTCAAATCAGTCCATAAACTGTATTTGTGCATGAAAATGTGCAAAAGTGTGTTCTCTGTAGAGAATGTCAAATCAAATCACGTTTATTGTCACAGGTGCAAGGTGAGTGAAAATCTTAGGTGAGTAGCCCCCTTGTAGAATTTAAATACAAATATATATATATATGTATATATATATATATATATATATATATATATATATATATACACCGACTCTAAATACATACATATATATACACAATATACACTAGTATTTCCAATGTACAGTTGTCCAGTGATCAGTTATGAAATAAAACTTATTGAAAGAGATAAAACTATGATATGCACTGTTGTACACATTTCCGAATGTGCAGTTAGTGAGTGAATGTGTACTTATTTTCATTTAAAAATTCAACAAAACATGTCATTTGACTATGGGCAATCAGAAATGTATGTATATCCTACATTTTGATGTTTTTTATACTGAGATGTATAATATACAAACTGCAAAACTGATCAGGAAATGAATGTTAAATTACCTCTTGCTTTACTTCTGGACTGTGTACACATAAACTCGTAAACAATAAGGAAGTTGCACTTGAACGGCTGACCAAGTCATAAATACAAGTGGTAAACTCAAGCTAATTCAGAGTCACCTGAGATTATGGGTTGCAACTTATCGCCAGCCAGTACATTCACTGATTCCACACAGACACATTAGAGGAATACAATTTTTTTGCAGTGAGTGATGTCATTGGCCCATCCCGGCAAGTACCATTCACTTGTAAAAATTGATCTACTAATCCGCTTATCCTTCTGGGTTGATCAGTTATCAGTTGGTGAAATTTCTGACTGTAAGTTGACGAAGCCTGTTCAAATAGGCTGATTTTGGCATGGACACTAAAACACAATCCAATAGAGAGGGTGGGGCTAGTTTATTTCAAGATAAAAGTCCAATTTTCACCAGAAAATATCAAATATTTCCAAAACAAAATGTATAACAATTCAGTATGAACTAACAATCCTAGCAGGAGGCGGATCTTGTGATTTTTTTTTTTTTTCAGGAAAAATTTTAATTACAATTTTTATTTTTAATTTTCAAGAAGAAAGACTCCGATTTTACATGAAAGAATGGATTTATTTTATCCATGAAATGTTCATTTATTACGTTTGAGTTCAATTCAAAGATTCAACAGGCTCTGTGATTGGCTAGAGGTTCATACTCACAAGCAGGCCGCCCAATTCTAGCGCCGAGGGCGGGGCTTGTCTGAATACGGGCGGGAAAACAAAACACTTTGCTTTGCTTTACCCGCCTCTTTCTGATTGCTCGGACAGCTCGTGAGTGTGAACTGTCAGCCAATCAGAACATTAGCAGCCAAGCGTAGCGCAAGAAGGCGGGACCTGTCGGAATGCGGGCGGAGAAATAAAATAACGCACTTTCTTTGCTTTTTTACCCGCCTAGTCACTTCCTCCGTGGGGTCGTGTAGATGCTCGGTGCTCACGTCGTGTCAGCCGCAGAGATGTAACCGTGGGCGGGCGTGACAGGCAGCCTTAACCGGGGGGTTACTGATTAATCCAGGTCCGGGGCGACAAGCCTACATATAAGACATGCATGCCGGCTGCGGGCGAACGTAAATCTGTGAGGCGGATGACAAGCTCTCCATTCAGCGGTGTGTCTGAGGTAGGTGGTTACAAATAAAACCTCTCAGTACCGGGTTTTTCATTGTCTTTATAGTCGTTTAACTTTCAGTATTAATTCTGTTATTATCCTTATTAAAATTAATATCAGCTATATTTCACGTTCTGCTCGTCACGAGGAATTTTATGCTCTGAAATGGTCAGAAAATGTTATCGGCTAACAAAAAACGCGGAATGCGTGTAAGCTGAGATGGATTTGAGCCTGTTTTTCACTCTCATATGCCTTTTTTTTATTTTTATAGGCCTTATATAGAGTGAGTGTGCATTCAGGTTACTGCCCAGACTGTGCTTAGTTACCTTACACTAACGTATAATGGTTTTATTCAGATATTCGTGCTGTTTTAAAGAGAATAAAGCGAAGCAGCAGCAGCCCGTTTTAATTTACGCCGTTCAGAGTTGGGGCTGTGTTTGATCGGACTACTAAGTAGGGATTTGGTTTCAGCGCTGGAGGTCATTTGGGCAGGTTGTAGCTGGAAAGCTCGCTCAGAGAAAAGCGAATTATGTTTTATATAAAGTAGTTTTGGTGGCCTATAATTTCAAGACAGAGTTCAGTCAGGTTGGAGGATTTCCTGAGGAGTGTTTCTGCCTCATAACTCAACTCTGAGGGCATGTTTTGGCTGAGCTAACGTTGGACCTGTTTCCAAAGACCTTTACAGAGTGACCGGCCACTGCTAAACTTTTATTTTCCGTCCACATGAGCTGATAAGGTGTCCTTTTTTTATTTCCTCTTGGCAGGTGAAGACGGGACGAGTCGACCTGATCACACATAGGCATTTCTGAGGGGTTTGTAATAGTAGCCAGGCTCCACAGACCTTTAAATACATCTCAGAAAGTCGTTCAGCACCACGTGGTGTAAAGTGAGCCACAGGCCAGGCTGACTGGACAGAGCTGCAGGGGACCTTTCAGACTTTCAGAGAAGACTTGGCCAGAATCAAGCCAAAAAAACCTTCCTCAGACTGAGAAACGTCTGCAGATCATCGCTCGTCGGGTGAGACCTCAGCTCGTTGCCTGCGGTGAGGAGAAAGCATCTGTTCGAACTTTGCTTCTACTGACTGCCTCGTCTGAAATGCATCTTTCTCTCATTCGTTTGTCTTAAACGACACGACTGTAGTGAATGGGGAACATAATTTGTATGCTGCCCAAGTTCAGGCAGGATCTCAAGCAAGCCCGGAGAGGGGTAATGCACCTGCCTCTTTTGCTCAACCTGTAGTTACGAAGAGTGCCAGGACAGGAGCTGAGGGGCCAGGAGCCGCGTCTATGGGATAGAGCAACCGTGCAGATCAGGCGAAATCACTCTGGTCAGAAGGAAAGCTGTGAAAGCGCCGTCCAGCCTGTGTTTTTTTCCGTTTCTTTACTCTAAACTTTAAACTTTAAGGCTTCCGCATGGTACTCTGGTCGAAAGAGCAAGACAAACTGTCCACCGACATGTCCACCGGGACAGAAAGAATAGAGATGAAGAAGGAGGGAGCGCCGCCGGCCTACCACCAGTCCAACGGGTCCGTCCATCCGGTCATACTGCCCAGCGACCCAGAGGAGAGGCAGCCCAACGCTGGAGAGTACGAGCTCACAGAGGTGACCTCCTTCTCGGACCGGCCCGAGCAGGAAAGCGACCGGTCCGAAATGGTCGTTATTGACTGTCGGGCCAACGCCAAGGGGCAGAGGGAAGAGGACGCTCTCTTGGAGAACGCCAGCCAAAGCAATGAAAGTGACGACACAAGTACGGACCAAAGCCCGGTGCCGCCGGTTCCACTGAAGGAGACGTCCTTCTCCATCGGACTCCAGGTCGTGTTCCCTTTCCTGCTGGCGGGGTTTGGAACAGTGGCCGCTGGCATGGTCCTCGACATAGTTCAAGTGAGTGAATTACTTCTGTATCCACTGACCCCTGATCAGGCTACAAGAGCCCAAGGCATGTTATGTCATAACTTGTAACTCTGTATCAGATGATATAAGCACTCGCGGCCGTTATTCAGTTTTGCTTAAATGCGGCAGATATAAGTAAACTATTCAGATGACTGTCGCTTCTTTGCAAACTTAAAAAAATAGGGCTTAAAAAAATATTTTGCATGCATTTGTATCCTTAAGTGGACAGACACTTCTTTAAAGTCTAATAGGGGGAATGATTTTACAAAATGGCCAGTTTTACAAAATGGCCATTATTGAAAAAGATTCAGAAGTCCATATGGTCTTCATCTTGCAAATCGCTATAACTTGGCTCAGTATTAGGATTTGTTTGTTTATTTATGGAATATGCCAAATCTGTGTGGATTCTGCCAATGTGTATCATCCAAACTCAGAATTTGTCAGTGTTTCTGCATTGTGTGGCCTGTTGCTCAGCCAGCATATGGCTCTGTATCAGAAGACGGACAGATATTGGGTGTCGAGGTGTTTACATAACAGGTTGTGCCATACAAGCACTTAGAATGTGCTGGTCAGTGCAGAAAGCTCCTTGGTAGCACGCTCTTGTCTGGAACGTACTGTTTAACTGTACAGTGCTTTAGTACATTGCAGTACACCGACAGAATATAATACACTATTACTGAAGTAGAGACAACAGTGTTTTACTCTCTGTAGCTCATGTTTTGTTCTTAACCTAAACTTCTAGAAATACATTGCGTTCTATCACCTGTATTGCTTGTTTACTAACAATTGGCACAATACTGTTCAGTCAGCATTGGAAGTCTGAAGGATATAACTGTTTAATGCTGTTATTGAAACAGAGACATCAATAATTGACACTGTGTAACTACTTTTTCTTGTTCTTAACATGTGTTTCCTGTAGGTCTTGCATTTTAACACCTCTAATGCTGGTTTGCAATCATTTGGCACGGTACAATTCTTTCAACTATGTTTACTTTTTTCAGTAGCAGCACTGATCGAATGCGGGCTGTTTATGGAGCAAGTCAACTATCCAGGGAACTCATGAAAAGCGCGGCTCCCGAGAGCAAATCAGGATGTTAAAAGGCACAGGGAGAGCGAGAGAGAGAGGGATTTCAGTACGTTGTAATTAGTTGCCTGCTTTCTTTCCTGTTGCCTGTTGTGAGCTGTGTTGCATTTCGACTGCATAAGAATAACAGCTCCATCCTGGTTGACAAGTCATATATTTTCATGAGGTCAGTCGTCTGTGACTGTAAGGTTGGAAGGATCTGGTTGCACGAGATGGGATAAAGATTAATGTAGATGACTAATGCCATTTAGGCTTCATCGCAAGCCTTATTGTTTCCAGGACTTTCTGGGAGTTTTTTGAGTCATACAGTGTTACACCACATCCGATATTATGGTGCTTTTTATGTTTTAAGGAAGCAATAATGAAATTGTGTATGTCTTCAAGCCTTGGCAGGCCAGTGTCTTGTTTATGGGCAGTATGAGTTGAAGGCTGATTTGACTTTGCCCACATACTGGATCCAAATCACAGGGGAAATGGATTTGTGCACCGCTTGCAGTCCCGTCAGCTCACAGTCTGAGCAAGAGGCAATCAGGCACACACCGGTATTTCTTTAAATAAACCTTTGCCTCGGAGCCAACACAGCAGCAGTGTCTGGATTCTGGGGCTGTCCTATCAGTTCATGCCTGATATGAGGGGAGATACTGATTAAAGGGGACTAGTAGTTTTGTACTTATGACATAGGAGTGGGTGATATGAACTCAAATTTACATCAGTAATTGATTCTTGGGTGCAAGACGCTTTATTGATTTATGATTTTTATATACTCTGTGTTTTCCCTGCTGTTAAACACAAACTGTTCACAATTTGTGTGCAAATAAAAGGCCTGAAAGCATAGCAAACACTACATGTTAATGACAAATGCAGAATAAAAGCATAATCATAATCATAATGGCCTATAGAGATTAAAACTGAGTCGCATTGAGAATCATTTTAGAATCTCATCTTGGCACACTGATTCGAAATCAGATTGAATTGTGAGGTGCCTAGAGATTCCCACCCCAATATTTCTACGTGTTGATAATAATAGGTTTTATTCCACATTTACTAAGTTGACCACTTCCGAACTAGAGGGTAATAGCATAAGTGTTTACCCAGTAGTCAACAGAAGAGTGAAAAAGGAAGCCTAACAATGTAAATAGCTGTATAAATGTTTAATTTTGTGTATTGTGAAGTTTATAAGAACTTCTTTGGAGTCTTTGGAGGGCTGCTGTTTGTGATTCACTGTTTAGGCTGTTTCACTGTGATTCACTGTTTATCATGGTACTCACATTACAGTTAATTCTATATCACGGGACATTATTCAAGTGCTGTTTTTTTCATACTGATAAACCTCCCAGCCCTGTTATGCCATAAAGGGGGCCTTGTTCTTCCCTTCCTTGGTTTACCTTCAGTCATAAGATGTGCCTAAACTAAGCCTAAAGCATGTTTGTTTGGAGATACGCAATTCAGAACACATTACAGTCAAGTAAAGCAGAGAGTAGTTCATTATTTCATGGGTAACTTAGCTAATCTGTGCTGCCCACTGAAGGCCTACGAGCTTGGACAGGTGTAGCTTGGCATTAAACAGCACCTTTAGAATGTAAACTGAGAAGAAGCTTGCACTAGTCCTGCCGATACTAGGTGGACAGATCTAGCTAGGGAAGAACCGATATATTGTTGGGCCGCTGAAACTGATTGATGTTATGGCTTTGTAAAAATTGGTATTGGTCATGAAATTTCCATTCCCATTGGGCCTTAACTCTAGCAGGACCTGATCCTGTGATTCTGTAAACTCTTGGTAAAATTTCTTGAGTACTGCAGTGCCCCTTGTGAATAATTTACTGATTATTTTCCTGGAAATAATGCTCAGCTAATACTTCAGACCTAGGAATCTATTGAATATCATTGACCAAAGACCTAGACATAAAGTGTTTGGCCATAAAACAGGCTGTAGGACATCTATAATTTATAAAGATTAAACTCTTCCCCACCCTCGCTGAGCGGTTACTCGGCTGTGAGACAGTGATTTCCCTGTAGATGGACTGTCTCCTCCCTTGCAGCCTACAATAGCTGAGATGTTTGTTTGTAAAGTGGCTTGGCGATTTGGGCCAGACGAACGCCAGCGAGGGCTGTTTGGGTCCTACTGTGGGTCAGCCTATTTTTACCAGGAGGAAAACAGGCTGAATATAAGGCCCTCACACCAGCCAGTCTCTCTGCACTCCCACAGGAAGCCATTTTGGGTCTACCACATCCAGGCTGACACCCCATTCTTACAGGAATCAGTGTAGACAAACAAGCACCGGCAGCCGTCCTCTCTAGCCACGGGTCACGGGAGACACTCTTCTTCTTTCCAAAGCTTGATCTGACTCTTTAGAGGGGGCGGGTTTTATATTGTCTATTTATACTGCAATATTGTTTTGTAGTCCAAACCAGAATGAAAGATTCTGTCCTAGACTTCCTGTGGAAAAACAGCAGTCAGTAATCAGGAAGTGCCGCCCTTGTGTAGTGTCCCAGCTGCTGGAAGAATGAATGCCTTGGTTCATAGAATTGTACCCAGCTAGGGCCCGACCGATATATCAGTTGACCATCATTGGTTCAATATTGAGGACCTGCCTGATTAATCGGCAAAAGTGCTGCCAATTAGGTATTAATACTGAGTGGGTTGTTTCATATTGTAACATGCAGATTCCTCTGATGTAAAGAAAATCACATTTCCTTCTTGGACACTGCTAAGCTTGACAGTCACTACTTGGTCATTTACAGGCTAAAATGAACACACAACACCATCACGATTAAGATAAAAAATAAAAACCTCAAATGCGTCCAAACCTTTGGCATGAGGATAATACAACACAAGAAGCCTTTTTTAGAGATAAATATCAAGAAAAACACAAAACGGCTGTGAATTCTTAGAAGCTCCACCCCCAGCATGGCAATAATCCTATATTTTAAAACTAAACCTATATTTGTTTGCTGTTTATTTGAGTTTAAGAAATGTGGCAATTAATTAACAGTCAAATCCATCAGGAAAGCACTGTCTAACCAAAACCTTTTGAGACTGATTTTTGACCATACAAAAGAATATTGGACAAAATGATTGATAATTGTAGCTCTTCAAAATGAATTTGGTATCGGTCATATAATTTTTATATGATTGAGCCCTATATGTTCTCATAAGTGCATAAATGACATATTTTGTAGTAATTATTGGATCATTTATAAAAAATCTTACTCATAAGACTTTATTATTCCTCATGTTTAATCTTTAAAAGCATTTTTTAAAATAAAAAAACAGTGGTAAGTCTAGAGTTCAGTGAGTTTAATAACATCTTCCCAGAATTTTCTGTAATATTAAATCAAACATAAAAATACCTTTTGTTGTCTGGTTTATAATACTTAAATCTATACTGTATAAGTTGACTTTACAATACCTGTGAACCAAAGGTTCAAATGAATTAGCAGCTTTCATGTGATGGTAACATGCCTAGTTCTACACAGCATGTCCTGAGGTCCTTTCCGTGCTGGGTGATCAGCACTACGCACTGACCGCATGACTGCTGGTACCACCTCCTCTGCTGGTGGTGCGTCACCGAATTCCTCTGTGACCATATATGCTGAGCTTTAGAGTGGCTGCAATCTGAGCCCGCAAACCTGCATGCCTGCGCTGCTGTCCATCGAGTTCACAGAAACCCGGGCCTTGTGGAGGCATTGGCCAGGGCCGCACTGTTCCCTGGAGACAACATCATATATCTCGGAAGCAGTGCAAGAGTAGAGGGGCTTTCAGTCCAAGGAAACTGAAGCCAAAGTGGCAGATGGCCAATTCTCAATTGATGTGGGACTTTTTTTTTCAAAAGTGGTCCCTGTACTGCCAAAGACTCGGATTATATAAAAAAAAGGCATTAAAACACGCCTATTGGAAGCAGCCCAGTGTAAAACCCTTAACTAGCACTTTTTGTCGTATTTTTAGGAGGGTTGTTTTTTGTTTACTCCTAAGCGTCTCATTTTAGCCCGGTTAGCTTAGCACTTTTCTCCCGTCTCTGCGCTCTGATGAATCCCCTGCATTGATTTAGTTGTCTGGTGTCAGGCCTGTAATTGCAATGCGCCAGTGGGACAGGCTCTAAAGATAAGCACTTTCTCCATGTATCGATCTGCTCGGACTGCTGCTGCATTGCATCTTGGGCGCCGGAGCCTGCTTGAAAAATAAGCGGCTGCCAGTTACCACAGTCATCAACTGCTGTGTTTCGTAAGGATAAAGACTGGATGAGGTTCAAATGGGCACTAAGAGTGATGGCTCTGATTTTGCCTTCGTCAGATACAATTATTGAATCCAGCGTCAGGAGAAGGTTTACTGTCAAAGGACAAAAGTGAAGATCATAAAAACAGAGTTGGGCAATTTACTGTACAAATATTCCATAGATTAATAAGGAGCATGGCACATAATTTAACATTCGGTTATCATCATACCTTAGTATACCTTGATAGCCACAATATCTCGATACATATCAAAAACAGGTTTTTTTCTATCATTAAGGCGGTATTGTGTAATGTTTATGCAATACTGATGTAATATAATACTGATGTCAGGAGATGTTTTAATAATTTTAGGTCGTTCTATTCCATTCAAAAGTTTGGAATCACCATTAAAATATTAGCTTTCAGTGTTTTCAATAATATAAAACCATCTTAAATGCAGGTAAATGTATAACACAATTCTAACATGCTAGTCATTTGTAACTTTACTGGATGGGTGGATTGGATGAATAGAACTGCTGATGATTCTAAAAGAACTGAGAAACTTCCACATTGAGAACCAAGTTATAATAAAATGAATAGTAAAAATTCTTCATAATTGAGAAGCGTAGTAAACAAATTCCAAGTCAGATAACTTCACAAAAATTAGTGTAAGTAAATAATTAAATACATTATCTTTTTTACAATGTAAGCTTTTAGGGCCCATATATGGAACCACACTTTTGTTTCTAAATTCTGACTGAAATATTTATTATTTATTTTTTTTATTCATAGTTAATCTTTATTAGCAAGTCTAGGGTTAAGGGGGTTTAGTAACGTCATGTTCCTAAAATGTATTGAATAAAACATGTAAAAATACCTTTTGGTGCCTCATTTGAAACAATACCAATGTATTAATACGACAAGTGTTTCCAAACTTTTTTTTACCAGTAGTGTATATTGTAATCACAGTGTGTGTATTTGGTCCATGCTGTGAAGCCGTGTGTTATATTTTAAAGTATTTTATTCTCTTACTTTCTCTTAGGGCTGAAAGTACAGCCTCTTTCCGTTATGATGTGTTTGCCTGGTAGAATGTCCAACAGATGAGTCATATCAAATTACAACACTGAATCAATACCATGGTAAATGAAGGTCACGGAAAATCCATCATCCAGTTGTACCCGCTGAACCCACCGTTCTGAGAAATGTTAAAAGTGTATTTGGTTTTGTGGCATGAGCTAAAAGTCCTAAATGAACTCTTTTTTTCCCTGCAGCATTGGAAGGTGTTCTCTGAGGTAAATGAGGTTTTCATCCTGGTGCCTGCTCTTCTGGGCCTCAAGGGGAACCTGGAGATGACGTTGGCCTCTAGACTTTCTACTGCAGTGAGTAACAGTAAAAAAAAAAACATTCAGTTTTTTATCTCTACCAGAAAACACCTGACTCTCTCTCCCTGACTATTCTGACAGTCCTTTATCTTCAAAGGCAAACAGCGACAGAAGTTCCAGTGCTGAAGGTAGCACAATTTATCACTGACATGTTGAGTGGCCTGTTCAGTTAAGCGGGTAATAATACCTGATGAAAGAATAGGGCAACATTGTTGAAGACTGAGTCAACACACACACAACAGGATGTAGTACATATTTTTATGACTGTTTACGTGTCCTTCTTGCTCTTCTTATTCATGTGTTGATCATTTTAGCTTGGACTTTGGGCAGCGTAATGATGTGTTCCGAGAGCTGATACTCAGTTTTATTAGGAGTTACGGAAGTATGTGACCTCTGAGTCTGTTTATGTAAAGGTGTCAGGGTCATCCTTAATTAGTGGTTCAAAAATGACACTCTATACTGCTAATAGTATAAATACTAAAAAAATGACTACAGTTTGTTTATCGACTTAGAATTTAATCACGTTACAGAGGTTGGTAAATGTAGCGTGAGGCATCTTGGACACAGGCTGTTGTTGTGGTGTTCTTGCCCAGGCAGGAAATTGAAGCCCAGCCTGTGTTGTGAAGGGCAGTGTTTGCAGGCCACCGAAAATGCTAATGACATTTTTAAAAATGGTAACCAAAACTGTTAATACAGCAAATACAATAAAATAACATGCTAATACACTGGCGAGTAACCCATAGAAAAACAAAAGTATTTTTAGTTGAACACTAACAAATATACAGCTAATGCAGTATATACAATAACAAAAAATCCTAATTCAGTGACTAGAAAATATATATATATATATATATATATACATATACGGGAACAAATATATACATATATGGGAGCAAAAACTCTGAATACAGTAAATACAATGACAAAACATGCAAAATCACTAGTAACAAACGAAAAAAGAAAAGTATTTTAAGATGAACGGTAACAAAAATGCTAATACAGTATATGTGGTAACGAAAATGCTAACCTATTGACTAGGAACTAGAAGTATATATATATATATATATATATATATATATATATATATATTTTGTAGAGGAAAAATACGATAATATGGTAAATAAATTAACAAAAAATGCTAACGCAATGACCAAGAACTAGCAAAAAAAGAAAAATATTTTCAGATGAACAGTAACAAAACATGCCAATACAGTAAAAATGACAAGAAAAAATACCAATACGATGACTTGGAACAAACAGGCCACAAAAAAGCTGTCACTTTTAATATATGTGGAAAGGTTTGTCAGCATTTGACAGTGATCAGTTTGTATTACAGTCTTATCATACAAGGAACATGGGCATTGCCTGAACACCCTTTAATAACTTGTTTATCAGTGGCTCATACTGTAATTGTTGAAATGTGGAGCAGCAAGGTAGAAACTAGGCCAGTGGTTACTATTCAGCCCCTAGATGACTGTGGTAAACCATATAGTACATGGGGAAAAACTGAAACCACGTTAATCCTGTGAAGCACATGATTGTACCACTTGCCCTAGATATGCTGATGCTTCTCCACTTGTTCTAAATAGCTTGACCAGAATTGAATATAGACCTGGGCTGTTGGTGTCTGAGGCTAAAGCAGACATTCCTACGGGCTGTTCGTCCGGGTCGTCACCAAAAGATTACACATATAATCTTAACACGTCTTTATAGCAGTCCACGCACTCTTCTTAATCCTAGAGAAGTCGCTGTACCCAGTTGGTATGTAGAAGCTTGCAGCCAAGTGACTAATTGCAATGAATAGAAGGTCCTTAGTCTGTGTTAGTGGTGAGGGCCAAAAGGAGGAAAAACTAATGACTAAATGGCTGTAACACCTAGTTTTATTAGGAGCGCAGGGAGTTCACCACAATCACAGCTTTCAGAAACAGTTCTGCGGAAAGCAGACGTAGTTTGAATGTTATTTTTGTTTAAACGGTTTTGGTCCAATTAACCACAGTTACCACTGAAAGCTATATTTGAGTTAAAAAGGCTACAACATGCACAAAAGAAGATGCAGTTATAAAAAGCGAAGGAAAACAGAGGAAGGGTATAATATTGTTGTTGTATCCTATTTCTGTCTTGAAATATGCAAATTTCTTAAATAAAGTAAGCAGTCCAGGGCATACCTGAACAAAATAAGTTCAGAAGTAGAATTGTTCTAGGCATATACAAGCATGTCGCTGCTGTCGCAACAAAACCTTGTTTCTCCATTTTTGTTGTTTTTCAATTATTGACATAATTTGAAAATGCCTGTTGCCTTTTACAGTGTGTATAAATTTCATAATAAATGGACCAAAAGAAATAGACCCAGAAATACTTGAAAAGACGTCTGGTTCCATTGACTTACAGTAAAAATAAAGTGTGTTTTTTTCTTCTTCTGAAAAGTTATCATTTTGGAGATACGAGGTTTTGTCCCGACAACAGCGATATAGTGGAATTGTCTGAGGTTCTCATGGGGTTAAAGGGGCATACTGGCCTAACACTATCGTTTATATGTTGTTTGTCATGTTATGCAGTATTCTGTAGCCTAATCAGTTTGCCAAAATTCATGATTTTTGTGTTCTTATTTTTTTTTCATCCATTAAAGTTCTCTCACTTCAGTATCCAGCATGCATTACGCAAATAAATAAAGCAACCATTGGGAATCTCTGCACAGCAGTAAAGAAGTCGTGACTACTAGCATAGCCACTATAGAGGCTAATGAATGCAAATGTGTTATTGGGAAAAAAAATTGTCCGTCCTAAAGCAGTTGTTGTTCAAAAGGTCTAATGAGAATTTGCAGCAACAACTCAGTTCATGTCAGAATATGAATTATTCACATCATCCCACAGCAGTGTTTTGTTTAGGGTGTAGCTGCGTGAGTTTCCAGGTTAAAATGCTGTTTCGAACTGGACAATTTATTGTAGCCAATCGAAATTAGGCAGGTTGGAAACTGCAGTGACACATTTGCCTCCACGATAATATTGTCTTGATTACAAACAAATAAATGGTGTGACCTTCAACGTGCATACAAATTAAATGTAATTTGAAATGAATAAGACGTTCTAAATTTGAGATTTAGATTTTCATAAGCGTGGATGGAATATTTGCCAGTAAAAGTGCCCAACCTAGTAACGCTGTGGAGGAACATTTCATCGCTGTTCAAAAAAGAAAAATACATGCATTTCCATTTTTTGTGAATTTTGTTTTTCAAAATCATTTAAACACAAAGAATGTACCAATAGAAATGCCCCAAAAATACATGGTATAAAATCACTTTACCTTGATTTGCATTAAATGTTAAGACCGGTTTTGCTGTCTTCTATAAAGTTTCCATTTTGGAGACACATTTTTGTTTTTTTGTGTTTTTTGTAATTTTTTTTTGTCCTTTTTTTTGGACAGTAACAGTTTGTAGGTAATGGATTAGTCAATAAGCCACAGCGGCAGAAAACTACGGTCCCGGCTGTGTTTTTTAGTAGTATCTGTCCTCTAAGACATGATCTGTTGCAATCAGAGGAAGGCACCGTCCGTCTATCTTCAAATGACTCCTGCAGGATATTTCAAACTTCTTATTGTTTCAAGCAGACGACAGGTGTACTGAACTGTTCATGCTATGTCGAATCACGGTGTGAGTTTGTCCTCTTTAGGAGTAAAATGTTCTGTTCTCATCCTATTCTGATCACACATCACCTGTCTGTTTAATAGGGTCTAGGGTGCAGACATTATCCAGAGCCAGGATGCATTTGAATATGAGCCTGTGTATCCTTGGAAGCTGGGATCAAATACTGGAAATGAGCAATTGAAGTTTTGAACCGCACAGGCTGCCCCTTATGTTTATGACAGCTTGTGAGTAGTTGTGTGCAGAAAGTGCAAAAATGAGCTTTTTGTTGAGAACCCATTGCATTCAAGACAAAAAGACGGCACGTCTCACAACCTTGTCTGCTTTTTCCATTGCACAGTAAATCTGCCTCACTCAGTACAAATTGGCTTAACTTTTTAGGCCTTTTTTTTTTCTAGAGGCCACTTCTAATTACCAGTAGATTAAGAGCACTGTACATTTCTAATGCTCTTATTATATAAAAAAGCGCTAATCCCACGATCAGCGTGAATTAAGTTCACCTGACCACTTTTGCTGTTTCTCTTCTTGGAAAATAGCCCGTTGTTCAGAGCGAGCGAGGAAAGTTGTTTCATGTTAGCTAGACCGCTCTGTCTTTTCACTCGTCTGCATTTCCAGCTGTGGTTTAACAGCTAATTGAGACACATTTAGCTGCTGTGATGGAAATTGGCGCATTTGCAGCAACACTTATTGTCTGCAATGTGAGAATTTTTTCTCAAAAAAGAGAGAGACAATATCTTGTAATCATCCATCAGAACATTAAGGATATTATGCTTTGTCCTGTATTTAAGTGTTGAAAGTTCACTCTAATCGGAAACTAATTCTCCTGCTCCAGAATATTCCAGATATATTTAGCTACTCATGACTCAGGATGTCTCTATCTTATTATCCTGCTTAGCCTATCTATTATCCTTGATCTGTTTAACCTCCCAGCTGACTGGGATATTATTCATCCTGATATGTTAATGACTCTGTGAATATTCCAGGGGCTTCCACAGGGCAAGGCTAGGGGTGTAAATATCTGACCTCACAGTGACTCAGTTCAATTTTGATCATAATACAATTTCAGATTTCACCACAAGTCATTTCAGAATTACATACATACATACATGCAATACATTATAAATGGAAGAACTTTTGGAATAACATTAGAACAGTAGAGCAGTAGTCAGAGACCAGCCTTCATGTGTTTAATTTCCAGTCAAAATGGCCATTAAGTACATTCATTATTCAGCATTAGGTGAAAAACAATAGCAGAAAACACAAATTTAACAGAAGATTACAAAGAAGCCTTAACAACTGAATATAAAATCACATTTTTTCAGTATTTATTATCTAAACTTTGCCTTTATTACAGCGTCTATTATTTTCAAGAGACTTGCTTTCAGTTTTTTAAAGACATTTTCAAAGTTCGGTCTTAGAAGTTGGTTGCATTTTCTGCTTCTCATGATCCAAGTAATCCCACAAATTGAATGGTGTTGAGGTCTGGACTCTGGGGTGGTCAGTCCATTGTTCTGAGAACCCCATCAGCTTCTTGTTTGTTTGCTTTTCTCAGTAACAGCTTCTTAACAGCTACACATCCTTTCAGACCCACAGCGCTGAGTCGTCTTCTCACAGTGGAAGGATAGACAGAAACACCTGTGGATGTTTTCAGATCTGAAGCAGCTTGATTTTCTCCTCTCTCTCAGAGATGAAAGCTTGAAGTGCTGTTTATCTGATGGGGGCAGTGCCTGGATTGTTTACAAATGCAAGTGGATTATCTTCTACTTAACCTCTTCAGAAATATCTACTTAAAAAATTTATAATGTATTAAAATAAATTAAATAATTAAACTAAAGAAGGGTGGCCTCTGACGTTTGCACAGGGCTACACTTTATTGAATATCATTCTGATCATTTATAATCAATGGCAAAATTGATACAGCAGAGTCGCAGCCTTTGGAGCGATGCATTTTAGTCCCCTATCCCTGAGCCCTCAAAGTTTTACCTCAGCAGCAGTTCAGAGCTCTGCACTAAACTGGGCTAAAGGCTACGTGGCACAGCTAGCAGCGCTGGCAGGACCTCCGTCAGTGCAGGGGTTATCGCCACTGTATGCGGGGGTGTGGGTCGCCCCACCTTGGCTAACGCAAAGTGACCTGCCCCGCTGCTTTATCTCAACCAGCTGGCTCGCCTCTTATCAGGCGCAGTTGGCTGTTCTCTTCAGATGAGCACTAGCTACAGTAGCAACCGTGCACTTGCTGGATTTTTCCCTTCACGCTGTGCGTAAGCTCTCGGCGGAAGAGGCGCCGTGACCAGTGAAGTGGGGTCACCTCTGTGAGCAGTGTACTGCTGGCACCAGCTCAAAAACTCCTTCCTCCTGAGCCCTGGGCCCCAACACACACACACACACACACACGTACAAGGAGCCTCACACATACACACAAGCCATTTCCCCCTCAAAATGGCCTCTCTCGCATTACTTTTCCTTTGTCCAGCTGCCAGGGACATTTGTCATATAGCAGTGTTGCTAATATTCTGTCATTGTAACCCGGCTCGGAGAGGCCGTGCGAATAAAAAGAGGCAGCTAGCTGTTTCATTGGTGTCCCACTGTGACCAATCAAGAGAAAAGAACGGAAAGCTCATTAAGTCCAACTTCACTTACTGTGGCAAGCTAAGGCTCACTCGCTATGATCTGATTTGCTGAGACGTTCTCGTACAAGCCTCGAAATATGTAATTTGTTTTTGTCTTCTCACTGCGGCGAAGTGAAGGGCTTTGCAGGAAGTGCAGAAGTACTACTACTCCTTTGAAAGATAATGAAAGACTGCACAGTGAGCTGGGCTCAATGGCTGAGAGAGGCCGCTGTGCTCTCTGGCTTGCTGTCAGCTCCTGGGAAATGTATTCTTCCCTCGTCCTCAGGCTATTGTCCTCCCTCTCCAGTTTGGCGAAAAACTGTGGTTCCACTATACTTCTGTGAGAGGCCACTGGCCGCTGTAAAGCACTCCTGCTTTAGGTTTTTGGGCACTTAACTGCAGAGTGTAATTTAGCATATGCTGAAGGTATCTATGCTTATTATTTCAAGTGTGAAGCTCACTTCAAAGAGCGGCCAGAGAAAGTCCCAAAACGATGGAATGTCCAATTAACAGATCTTGTCTAAAACAGAAAAGTAGGGAAGCATGATTATATCAGAATCATATCGGCGTCAGACAGATATTTGATGTCGTACTTGTTCTCCAGAAGTTTAGGTGTTTAGGCGACGCTGGGCTGCTTTTCTTCATTTTATTCATTTCCTGCATTTGTAACCACGTACTAGTAAATGTTAAAATTCCCTTTAATGCAGTCATGGACGATAGTCTTAATTTCTCAATTTTAGAAATGTTATTTATCAGCTTTTGCAGATATGTACATGAAAAATCTCAACATTAGCCCATGATTCCCACTACGGTGCATCTCTGTTCACCATAATGTGCAATAATGTGTGCTTGTTGTTTCAGACCATTTATCTGTACAATAACCGTGTTTTGCTTGTAAAACACAGTGTAACTTCAGGATAAATGCAAATAAAAATCACTGCAATAAAAATTAACAAGAATTTTGTGTTTTCAAAAAAGTAGTTGACATAATTCCGACAAAATTACAAGAACAGAAGTTTGGTTCCAGATTTCTTGTTGGCGATCCCAGCTGTTATATGGACTTAAATCCATCACCAGCACTGCTGATTTGGTATAATGAAGTACTGGTTAGCCAAACTAAGTATAGGATGATAGCTGTAACTAGTACTGGGCTACCTTAAGGAGAGATTTGGAAATGGTCAAAATGAAAACATTGCCATGCACAAACTCAATACTTACTGGATTCATGTTATTACTTTTATTCTAATTTTAATGTTTTTCTAAGCAAACAAAATCCTTACTGCCCAGAAAAATGGCTACAGTACTGTATAAATGAATGTATCTATATTTTAAAGTATTCTAACAATATAAAACAACATACTCAATTTCATCAAGGATTATATTATGCTTAGCTCAAATATAACTAATAGAGTTACATGGTGTCTTCATGAGTGCCTTGTCCTCTCTTTGTTCTGATACCTATAGCTCAGTTAAATATTCTCATCTGGAGCCCCACTGTTGGATCAAAGCCACTCAACATTAGCATCTTCAGTGAGAGTTATGAGATAAGTGGGGTCGGCCAGCGGGAGGAAGATGCATGCGTCCAGTGGCTCAAACCCCCTTTTGTCCCAGGAACTGACCACTGTTTGTTCTGGCTAAGCCTTGGGCCGACAGCGCCCGAAACACTAGATATTCTCATTGTCGGAACACTAGGTGGAAATACAGATCGTGGCTTATGATGCAGATGTCTCATTAGGCTGGTTGTCGTTAACCAATCTAATGTTAATGTAATTAATATTGTATGTCCTTAATATCCACAAATGAGTTGCTTACATTATAATGGGTAAGTGGCAGATCATGGGAAAGGAAGCTGGTCTGGGATTGGTACAGAAAGGCTAGCGCATACTGTTCCAGTCTTAGAGCATTCTGTAGTTATGCTATATAAGCAGTCTTTAATGGGCTTCCTGTGTTCTCTCCACCTCCACCCTCCAGGCTAATATTGGACAGATGGACACCGCCAAGGAGATGTGGAAAATGATCATGGGAAACCTTGCGCTAATTCAGGTACGCAACACTTGAAAAAGTTGAGGTCCTGTTTATATAACGTCCACTGCTGTTAGCTTAATTGAATTAACAAGGCTGCGTTCCCTAGCCCCTCTTCAGCTAGAAGCAAAGTACACTTCGGATTATGTAATGTTTGAACAACCTTCCTTTTTTTTCTGGAAATAATCCAAAAACTCCATTTTTTACAACTTTGTACAGTATCGATCTCACAGCCGAAAGTACTCAGAAAGTAATCATTAGTTTTCACTCCCACAAAGGTCACATTTGGCCCACTCCTACAAGATTACTACAAGGATTACTGTGATTTGGTTTAAGTCTGGTGGAGGATCAAGATATCGTTGTGTGAACTCGACATGATGTGAACAACAAATGTGGGCTTCAGTAGATGTTTGAGAGAGAGAGAGGTCCATTAGTTGACGGTGACACTGCTGTTCATACCTCAGGTTCAGGCCACCGTGGTCGGCTTCCTGGCCTCCATCGCTGCAGTAATTTTTGGCTGGATCCCAGAGGGCCATTTCAAGATGGGCCATGCAGTTCTACTCTGTGCCAGCAGTGTAGCTACAGCCTTCATAGCCTCCTTGCTCCTAGGTGAGAGGGTTCTTTCTTTTTAACACTGCACCACAACAGCCCTGGTTTAATTTTACAGGTTGGAGAAGATACATTGAATCTGTATTTGATTTGCAACCATGTAGTGCCCATTGTTCAAGCAGGCAGATATGGAGCTGTTATGGAATCTTATTCCAAAGATAAGATCAGGACCAAATCCCAATAATGGGAAACTGCATGCCTAAGCGCCATTCCGACACTAGAGTGGAAATGTGCTATAAATATTCAATCCAAACAGGAGATATCAAAAGCCCCAAATGGCCTTGCACTGATTGTGTGTGAGTGACACAATCTCCTGTGTTAGCTTTAACATCTCAACACCATCACAGCCAGTCTTTCCTTCTCTGCTCCAAAACAGGGCTTATCATGATCGGGGTGATTGTCGCTTCCAGAAAGGTTGGCATTAACCCAGACAACGTGGCCACCCCCATTGCTGCCAGCCTTGGAGACCTGATTACCCTGGCCTTGCTGGCTGGCATAAGCACAGGACTCTACCAGGAGCTGGGTAAGTGAAGCCTTCTGGGGCACTGGGGCAGTCCATTGGTTGTGCAGGTTATAGTTAGCATCTAGTGGTTCCAACAATGGCAAGTGTGCATTATATAAAGTAAAGTTCTGAGTAGACCTCTGCCTGGCGTTGGTTAATCAAGTCAATGTGGTGACAGTCCCCAGTGATGGAAAAACTTATTTTTATATCAACTCAAAAAATCAGTGAGTGCCTTTACATGCACTTAATAATCTGATAACTGCAGAAAATCAGATTTTGTGAGTAATCCGATCAACACATTTACATGCTCTTGAGTAATCAGATAAAGGAAACTCTAGGTCTACATGAGTCAGACAGTAATCAGATTTCTACTTTGTAACCAGCCAATAAACTCACAGAAGAAGATGTGATGTAAACGTAATGTAAAACTCAAACTTAATGCCTCGTTTTTTTTTAACTTTGTGCGACTTTACCTGAAAATGTGAACGTACATCATCTAGAAGATGAAGAATATTTAACTCCTTCATTTTGTGTTTAGTTTCAGTGCCTCTCCAAAAGTGTTTTGCTGTCATCTTGCACATGCGCAGAATGAGAAATACGAAAGAAATCAGAGTAAGAGTTCATATGCACTGAGAAATCTGATTACTGAGCTAGAATCCAACTCTCTTTATTAGATTTCTTTATCTGATTTCTAGATCGGAGTATGGCGTTTACATGACCATTTAAATAATCGGATAACTGCAGAAATCTGTTTATGATTGGATCATTGAGTGCATGTATATGTTAATTTATTGATTTCTTTAGTGCAAACCATAGCAAGACAGCAGTATTCCCACACATAAATAAACCTGAACTTGTTGGGTGATGTGAAATCCTTCATTGGTACCACATTTGTTGCACCTAACATAGATGAGCTTGTTCTAGAAATGTGGTTGAGCTGGTTAAACAAGCTCTGTGCTAAAGGCAGATATCATGCCTGTACAAAATGCTCTGTCGTACGATGTATATTTTAGAACGGGGGTTCCCAATCCCAGTCCTGACAGCCCAACACTATGCACATCTATGTGCTTTGTCTGATCGAGCACACCTAATTCAACTCATTAACTAATTCACAAGCGCCTTGTTGGCTGGGTCAGGTATGTAGAGTAGAGTAACCACATTTTTCTACTCTGTTAACACCAAAAAAAGTCACTGGACTGGGATTGCAAGCCCTTGTTTTAGAACATCCTCATACCATAGCATCAGGTTTCAGACTGAAAAATGACTTCAGCCTTAGGAGAAACACTTGAGTGAAAACATGTCTCAGCTCTCGTTTATCAGGCGGCTCAAACAGCCTTAAGTGAAATGACTTCAGAGACGAAGGCAAAGGGCTAAGCTCTGCTCTCGGGTGTTAAAGTTTGTGTGACAGTCGTAATTCTGTTCTTTCATACTAGATTAATCACAGTTTTGTGGCCAAAGCACAGATGACAGTGTGGTGCAACCTTTATACACTATAGTCCTACAAACTTTTACTGAACTGCGCTTTATTATGTTCTTTTATTTCACAACGATTAAGACTCAACTCACATGTAGTCACTGTTTTCTGACATGTCCACTTCAGCGTTAGGGGCAGTCAGAAAAGCAAAGGAAATGCGAAGCAAACGGAAAGCAACCTCAACCTGATTAACCACATCCCACACACACACACACACCTCCACACACACAGTTACCTGAAAAAGAGGACTTACTGGCATAGGCCTTGTTATGAGATTTGTAGACTTGCTATTTTGTGCACTTGGGAACCAAAGATTTATCTCTTTTGCAAAGACAAAAATTGTGAAACTACATTGTTTTAGATTAAGTCAGTTGGTGGGGCGCCTTCTCAAGAACATAATCAAAAACTGGCTCGACAAGAGGCACCAGCTGTTAAGCAAGATGCCTGATTTGGCTGGCATGAAAATGCATGGGAACGTACCTACTGAAAATGCCTGATTTTGTGCATTGTGAGTCCGATAATAGTGTCTGTGGCCGCACCTTGGTTTTAATGTGTGGTGTGGTGTTTCTGTGCTGTGATTCCACAGTTCTGTGTAAGCACATGAAAACGGCTATGTAAAGAGTAATTGCATGTTTGTGCTTTTCCTAAGTGATCAAAACTCTGATGATGAAGATAAATTGTCTAGATGTAAACATTAGGCCTCGAAAGAGGTGAACCAAAATTGTCTTGTTGCCTAGTGTGGGCTGCCTGATATCTAAGTCCAAGAATGTGGGTGCTAAATTACACCCAAAAGAATGTTCAGCAGAATATCTTTGTGATTTCTCGGCCTGTTACTGCCCACCAGGTTTCGAAATTGTCTGTTTTGAGATTATAATTAAAACGTTGTTTGCATAATTGCTCAGCCCAGGTGCTGCTTTTCATACACTGTGAATAAATAAAGCTGGCAGAAAGGAGGAGAAATGTTTGGAATTGAACTGGATTCATGAAAACTGAACTGAATTCATCTAAATGGCCATTTTGTATTTTTGGACAGATTCTAACGATTATGCCAATCCGCTGGTGTGTGTCTTTTTCATCGCCCTGACACCTGTCTGGATCCTGATTGCCAGACGAATCCCATCCACCCGAGAAGTGCTCTACTCAGGGTGGGAGCCTGTCATCATCGCCATGGCGATCAGCAGGTACAGTAGGAAGGCTGTTTTCTGCATGCTTCAGCTGTTGCTGTTGTCTGATATAATTGTATGTCATATATATTATTACTTTCTACAGTGTTGGGGGACTCATCCTGGATAAGACTGTGACCGATCCCAACTTTGCTGGCATGGCAGTGTTCACACCAGTCATTAATGGTCAGTCCCAACGAATGATAATCCTTTCGAGGCTTATTCACACACATTTGCATACTAGGGTTGGGTGCTATAATAGTACTGAGGTACAGTGTGGTATTCTAAAATGATGATGAGCGTTTCAAAATTATGACAGCATCAAATTTCTGTTTCACATTTGTCTGTTAAACAGCCAAACAAACACATTCCATCCATTTCTAGAAACCTGTTATGGTTTCCCTTTCCATCTAATGTGCTTCTAAATCAGGACCAGGAAATGCTTAAGAAAAACTACGTATAACAGTGCCTCAACAACAGCTAACTGCTAACACACCACTACTAACACCGGCTCGCTAAGCTAATTTGAAAATCCAGACAGGTTTAATTTTAGCATTCTGCCCCTTTGTTCTGCTCGGCTCCCTCAGATTTGAGTCATCATCTGGTCTTGTGTCAGAGGTGCTAACAGCTTGTCAAACAGACAGAACCTTGAATGATGGCATCAGTGAGAACCATAGAAGAACCGAAGAAAGCATCATTCTTAGAATAGTGATATAAATAATTATAGAAATAACCTGTATGATACCCCCACACATGGTTACTGTGAAGAACCTGTTAGACTATACAGTTGTTTCTGTTGCCCTGCTGCAGGTGTGGCTGGCAACCTGGTGGCAGTGCAAGCCAGTCGGATCTCCACCTACCTGCACATGAATGGCCTACCCATCTCAGAGCCCAACCCCTCCCCACAAAAATGCCCCACACCTTGCAGCACATTCTTTGGCTCAGGTAAACTAATCATCTTCATATGGAAATAGATCAAAGGAAACCTAAGAAGTATTTACCTCTAAAATATGCATTGCCCTGATCGTTGAAAGCTGAAGTATGTGATGGGCTGAGTTTTCTCCCTCAATCTACAGGCGTGAATTCTCGCTCAGCCCGAGTGCTCTTCCTCCTGGTGGCTCCTGGTCACCTGGTCTTCCTGTACACCATTAACTCTATGAGGGCTGGACACACCACTCTCACCTACGTCTTCATTGCTTTCTACCTGGCTGCTGCATTACTCCAGGTACAGTGAATCTGAGCTTTAGAATCCGGTCACAAATTAGCTGAAGCTATATTGAAACGTTGAATGGAAAGTAAAGTTTGTGTACCAACACTTGTGAACAGTGAAAGTAAGAACATGGTAGTTGTGTAGCTTAAAAATGCAAGGAGTATGAAAAATATAGACATAATGAAGGAAAGAGTAGCAGTCTTAGGAATGCAGTGTGCTGTCAGTATGAAGCGCAGTCATGTGCCTTTGGTTCAGCAGCTGAATCTCAACTCTAGGCTACTTGTTGGCTGTAGCTCATGAATTCAAGGAATAGTGACATCATTGGGTTTCTGTGAAGTGCTGAAAGGATAGCAGGGTTAAAGTAGAATGCAGCTACATATATCGTCATTGTCCAAAGAAAAACAAGTATCTCCAAAATAGTAACTTCACAGGAGAGGGCAAAAACGTTCTTTACTTTCAATGTAAGTTAATGGAAAGAGTTTTTATTTTAAGCCATTTTGAAGCATTTCTATTGGTCCAGTCATCATGATTCATCATCATCATCATTTTTACACAGTGTAAAGGACATCTGCTAAGCTGAAATGATGCAGAAAAGTAAAAATCGCAAAAATGGAGATACATGCTTCTCATTGGACAGCAACGATGTATATTTTGATCTGAATTTGTACACTTTTATGGCACTAGCTTGAAAATGACATGCAGAATATAGAGATAGCATAGAAGAAAGGATAGAATTAGATGTAAAAACTTTCCTTGTGTAACTGTAGTAATTTCTTGCCAACATGTTCACCAGCAGATTATAGCACATTATTTACAGTAGTTGTTTTCAGCTCAAGTCCTATAGTACTTTCCTGAACGTAATCAGTGCTGTTGCCCTTATGTTGGAAGTAGTGTTACGTGGTTGGAGTTACTTGTTATCTAAGAATGAAGTGAAAGAATGTTTACCAGAATAGCTTTGATTTCTCAGTCTCTTCCTGCCCAGCAGGATTAGCCGCTCTCTGCTTGGTAGCTGAAATGAACGTGTTGTCTTTTCATAAGTTATCAGAAGTTGTACGTCTTGGTGCTACAAATAAAACTAAAAGCTGGCCTGGTGCCCATTCTCAGGTGATGATCCTGCTGTACCTGGCTGACTGGATGGTCCAGTGGATGTGGAAGCGAGGGATGGACCCTGACAATTTCTCCATCCCCTACCTGACCGCCCTGGGTGACCTGCTGGGGACCGGCTTCCTGGCTCTGTGCTTCCATATCCTGTGGCTGATCGGGGACCGAGACACAGACGTGGGCGACTGAAACTCTAGCCAATCAGCTGTGGACTTCATGCCTCCTCTCTCCAACCAAGACGAGTGTTTATTTATAATACCATGTAGAGTAATGATACCTACATTATAACGGCTACAATAGCCACTATGATTATAATGATGACTTATAATACTATTGCTATAGTATTGGTATGTAATGATTATTACATTATTGCTTATCTTTTTGTGGGAGAACAGGAATCCTCATTTATTTTTCAATGGGGATGTTCAGCCCCCTTATATGGTCAGTCATGTTGGCAGCAATGAAAAAAAAAAACGTTTGACTTGAAATTTTCACAAGCAGCAAAAAAGCAGATACAGAATGCTCAATCACCAAGTGCTCTAGTGATGTAAATGAAAAAAAGCTCTTTATTCGATGGCAGGTGGTGAAAAGTTCTGGCCGAACGTGGCTCAGCTCTTCTCGGCTGGAAGCAATTGATGAAAATTTTCGGACCACAGCAGAAGTGAACTGAGTAGATTTAGATAACCTCTCCTGTGCCAGAAGTTTATAGGTCCTCATTCATCAGTAAAAAACTAGATAAACTGGAATGTTTTTAACATCTTTTGGCAAAGCAGGTTAGCGACGAGCAAACCAAAACAAGGCAAGGAAAGTCCATGCAGGTCATTGCAGTTTTAAGTCCTAATGCTGGACCTGAATGTGGATGTTTTACAGCAGGACATGAAAGAATGATATAATAACGGTCATGCCCACGATTCTTACAGCGGAGCCTTCAGGTCAGGTCCTGAGTATCTTCTCTACGAATAGAGATAGCAAACAAGAACATGCTGTTTCATTGTTTTCACTCAAATCCGTTAAGTTCTCAGTATGTGCAATGGGATTCTTTAGTTGTTTACTTTGATGGCGAAACACTTAAAAGATAAAATATCAGTCTATGCCTGGATTACGTATTTAGTGTTCAGTTGTGTTTACACCAGTTTCACTTAATCTGATGTTGTCGAGGTCACGAAGATTGTAATGTGCTGTTGGGCCACTATTGCGACCTTTGCGGCTGTAGATCTCCTCCGTGGATTGCACAGTTGGGTCAAAATGATGGGCTCCTGTACTGTATAAGTAGTGAAACAAGTGCACTAATTATGGTCGTCAGCTAGACCTTGTTTTTGAGGCAGGCAAAGTGAGCAGATGAGTGGGTTGCGTATGGTTCATACAGAGGCCACTATTTTATCAAGTATGTTACTGTGCGGGTTTCCGAGCATGTATATCAGAACACTTCGCTTTATGAGACACTCTTTGTAACAATAATGAAGTTCCAAATAATTGTGCTACGGAGCTTAATGTCAAAAGGGCTATTTTTGTAAAAGCTGCACCATTGCATGGAATGTGCATTCTAAATAAGAGACGCTGCCCAAAATGGCGGTAACACTTTACTCTAGGATGCTGTTCATAAGGCTACATGACACCTACATAAGCTTGTCATGACAACTGACATAATCCTACATAAATGTTTATAAATACTTATTCTCATTCGCTATAAAGGTTACGTTTGCCAATTTTCATCAAAGTTAGCTGAAGTAGCCTTTATGACATGACGCCTGTTGGAATAAGCATTTATAAAACAGTTATGTAGGTGTCATAATACTTATGTAGGTGTCATGTAGTCTTGAACAACACCCTACGGTAAAGTGATACCAAAATGGCTTTCTCAGAGCTGCTTTAATGGATAGGCCCAAATCTGATTTGGTGTCATGAATGACTGGAATTGGCGCTTGTTCTTCAGTGCTCTTTAGCAGAAGTTTTACAAGGATAAAAAAAAAAAGAAATGGCACAAAAACTTGAGCTAACGGAATGGCTTGCTTAAACAGAAGAGAAAAGAAAAGAAAAGAAAAAATTGCTTGTTTAAAAAGAAAAAAAAAGTAATTCTTACCTCGGTACTAGGCTTTAGGAAAGTAAACCCTTTAACTCATTTTAATCACTGGTATATACATGTAAATGCACACAGTCTGAGTCAAATATGACTCCCACGAGGCTCTGTGTCCTCGTTGTCCTGCTTTAGGCTGCTGTAGCAGAAGGTCCGTCTTTCTTTTATGTTCTACAATGGGGCCAGCAAAATGAATTGTGCAGGGCACATAACATTTAAAAAAATTGACATAAAATTCCCTTTTTTCCTTCGCTTTGTTCCTTTTTTTCCCTCCTATTAGCCAAGCTTGGGATACTGTAGATGTTGGGTCTTTTTCTTTGTTTTGTCTCCGGCATTTGACTTCTCTCCTACACGCTACCACAACGTCCAAACAGTCCACTGTGCAAAGCGTACTGTAATACCATTTGCCACAAGCGGTCACTCTTCTGAAAAGAGTTCCCAGTGTACTAACTGCAATACGCATGTATACAATATGCCACTATGATGCATTCAACCATCCTGAACTTGTCTTACTGTGCAAACTTGTGCAGCTTGTTTCTTAAAATGCAAGTTGTGCCGCCATCGTCCCGTTACAGCCCTTCGGTTGTGAATACTTCTTCAGGGGATGGGATATTCTGTTTATTTATTTCTAGAGATGCATACAAAGCAAATTGTATATAATATATTTATTCTATAAATATGCTGAAGTTGTTTATTTTTCATTTTATTCAGTGTCTCAGTTTCACATTGCTTTTTTTTTGCATTGGGCCAGTAGAGGTATTTACTGTAATTTGTTTATTTTTAATTAACAAACATCAGATGTTGGTGCCTAATACCCTACAGAAACCTCACACTCAAGCTGGTTCAGCAGTACACTGAACATAGTATGCCTTAACAACAGCACGGCTGAACACCAAGTAGCTGTTTTTTTTTCCCTATTTTGCTTTTTTTTATTCAGCAAGTTGTTTTTAATATATTGATTTTAATGACATCAGATAAGAAAATAGCAAAACTGAGCTGTTTTGCTGTCAGCAGAGGAAGAATCACTGGTGCCTGATCACGGGTAGAAGAGCAGGAACGACAGCGATGGTGGATCATAGCTAAACAAGGCCCCATATGTCCTGTACTACACCATTAAAGTCAGTTTGGCAAGGAATCAGATCACACTGTTTACTCCAAATGCATGTTATCAACCAAAACATGTTTGGTGCCCGAAGGTCATTTTGTTTTGCACTGGAGCTCCAAGGCTAATGTAGCTAACATGTACTGGAAGCATACACCCCACCAAATAGCACCAACCAAGCTACCTGCCTCAAACCGTGGTGAGGAGGCCATATTCCCCATAAAACCCCATTTTCATTGATTTTATAAAATAGAGTTTGATAGTTTGATAATATGTAACCATTGATAAAGTTTCAAAACATACCGTCCCCCAGTCTGTATACAATAACTAAACCACAAAAACTGCACTGTTTTTGTGACGTTTACGTATATATGCTTATTCAGGCCTACAGCAGCTTAGCCCCGCCCATTATTGCTTAGGTTTTAAGAAGTGTTTCAGACTGCTTTCTGAATCAGACACAATTCAGGGCACCTAATCAGAACCGAGATCTTTCACATATATCAATTTTAAAGGGGCACTAACAAAAGCAGCCTGATCAATCATAAAACACTGAAATACGTGAAAGTACAATATGGGCCTTTTTACTTAATCTTAAAGAGTAACTCCACCCTAAGACCTTTTTCATTAACAGCTGAAATGCACTGCTCTGTAATAATAAAATATACCAGCCTTGCTTGAAATGTGAACACCTTTCCAAACTGTAAAAATATCATTTTTATCGTGGTCAGTTCCGCCTCTGCAGCGCCCCCTCTGCTTCAACTCTGCTTTAGGCACGAATGATGTTGTCTTCGTACTTCGTCACAGTATGCAAATCTGTCAAACAACGTTACCGCCCCCTGATGACACTCTACTCATGCTGCACTCATAAATATGAAAGCGTAGGAGCCGAGAGTGAGGAGATAACCACACTCACACGCTGAGCTAAATACCCTCAGCACCACCTCACAAGGCTGCGATCTGCCAGCTGTCTGTACCAACTGTAAATAACCCAGTTAGTCTGAGCTCAGTTTGGAATAAAGATGTTGAACCAATTAAGTGAGGATTCTTGCGAGTCTCCTTAAAGCTGCCAGGGTTGTATCTGATTCACGTTTCCCTTCACAACTTAGACCCTCAGGCGCGACTCACTGAACAGAAATCAACGGCAAGCAACACTGGAACTACGGAAAGAGAAACGGTTCAGGAAAGGTTAACGTTAAATGGCCATTGTGTCAGCCTTTTGTCCGTACAGCCTTTCTCAGACTTTCTTCCCGCTTTCCGTAGTTCCAGTGTTGCTTGCCGTTAATTTCTGTTCAGTAGGTTTGCACGACCAAGGGCTCAGTTTATACAGGTGAATGTGAATTTGAGGGGGAACTGAATCGGATGTAACACCGGTTAGTGCCATGAACAGCTTGCGGATTTAGGATTTAGGGCCACTGCAGCAAACCCTGACTGACCGGTGATGCAGGCATTGATGTCAAACTGAATGAAACTTAGACAGACAGTGTTCAAATAAATCCACTTTATTCATTCGGAATTCGGTGCATCTACGAAATCAGGACTCGGGTTATATCGAATATGGACCTGCTGAACAGATCATTAGAAGCTGGCTGTCACGGTTTCACTGGAATGTTGTACTGTTCGGCGCCTCTGCCGCTCGCTGATAATCATTTTTTGGCACTATGTTAACTCTTCGGTGGTTTGAGTCAGCGGCTCATACTGTTAAGGCTCAAGACGCACTGCCTGATCAGAAACACCTTCCCTCGTCGAAGATGGGGATGGTAGTAGAGAAAAATCGTCAACCTCTCAGTTGCAAAAGTGCCGTTTGATTCTGTCTCTCTCCATATTGTCTGGTAGCTAACGTACGCTAGCTCTAAAAACACAGCAGCCCAGCCCACCCAGTTTCCCTCGCAGCCCCACCTCCAAACCGTAGATCACTGCAGTGCCCCTCCCAGCGAGCCCCTCCCATTTTTGAGCATTTTTCAAAGTTGAGCCAGGGCTGGAGTCAGCTGAACATAGTGGGGTGTAGTTACTCTTTAACCAGGCTTGCTTATATTGTTTCTGACACTGGATGACGTTCTGTTATGTATAACAGAAGTATGTTGTCTAGCTGAAAAACATAGTAGCAACTATCCAAATGAATAAAAGCATGGACAAATTTTAGGCATCACAATAGGCACTTCTGCACCAAGCATGTTGTGGCACATCGACTACAGGGGAAAACTGTTGATCTTCTTTGCCGAACTGTCACACACTTATTCCAAGACCTCCTTTCTTCTAAGTAGGATCCAAAAACACAGGCCCTAATAGGCCCGGAGTTCGGGAACCTCTCACCATGTTTGAAATCTCTCACTGTGGTTAAAAAGGGCTCCTGTTCTGGTGATGTGATGTACGCCTCTCACTGAGGCCTGAATGATGTGTATAAACGAGTAATCCAGTCTTTTCCTGTCTTACTGCTTCCTTTTACCCTTCACCTGCTCCACTCTGCTGCTCAAGAGGGGACTCAACAGAGGTACTTGTAAAATCGCTGGAAATAAAGGAATATATTATTTCGTATCACTTCTCTGTGACTGCCTTTCCTTTTCCTGCTCAGAGTTCACCCTCCGGGAAGCCTCGCTGGAAGGTAACTCGAGGTTAAGTGAAAACACTCGGTTTTCTAAGCTTGTTCTTAAGCCGCACAATGGAATTGAGACGATTGACGTCATCCCACACCAAAGTCCCTGGGTTGTGTTACGATGGCCATGTTAGAGTTTGGTCTAGAGGCAGCGCTGGAGGTATTACAGTAGCCAGGGAGGACATGCGGCCTTAATCCAGTTCATAACTTAATCAGCAAAGATGGATCCAGCACTGCAATGAGATGGAAGGAAGTGATGAGGGCTGTAACAAACAACAGAAGACAAGTGTTGTATCTGATGCAGAGAACAAGGGATGGGCTTGATGGTTAGAGCTGAAAGATACTGGTGAAAGATACAATACAGGCTCTTCTAAAATCAGGGGACTTTTTTCTAAATGTTTTAATACACATGAACCAAATTTGTTGGTTTGCAATAATTTACATATTAAAGACTAGGAAGACAATATCACATAAATATTTATCATATTTGTGATAGTGTCAGCTTGGGAAGGATGTCAGAGCCTAGGCATTTTATCCCTGTTATGAGGTCAGCACTCAAACTTTTCAGGTGTTTAATTAGCTCATTTTTATGGGAAACCAAATTTTCCTCACTTTACTATGTAAACATTATTTATCATTCACTCTGCAGTTCATACAGTCCAACTAAGCTGCATAAACAGCCCATTTTTAGTTCAAAGGTTTTTTATTATGTCACAAAATACATATACATAAAAAATATTTACACATATTCACCTATTTAGCTAGTTTAGCCCATCTATTCATGCAGAAGTTATAAGGAGTGTTTCAACCTGCACTGCTTTTGCAATGTGGCACAGTATAGTGGTGAGCAAAATGGCAGAAATGTATCACGATACATGATATTTATTTATTTATTTATTTTTTAATACTATCAAAAGCTTAGTAGAAATTATTTTTATCTAACAATTCACACTGCATCCAACTAAACAGATAGATAGAAAGATAGATAGATAGATAGATAGATAGATAGATAGATCACTTTATTGATCCCAGAGGGAAATTCTTCTATTGCAGCAGTACAAAGCACAGAAAAGAGCATAACAAGAGCAAAATGAACAGGAGCAAAGTATCGCCATACACTATTTACAGATATATAAAAAGAAAGTGCAATATTGATGGACAAATAAACAAAATAAACAAGGTGAGATATGATGAACAGGACTTATTATGCTCTCTTTATAAGTAAACATGCAGCTGGTCAGTGTTCTTTAAGTACTCACAATGTCCGAGATATGCTCAGAAAAGAACCGGGACATATTGCAACAATTTATCACAACAGCAATAAATATCATAGTGTTCGCCTTTAGCATAATACAGAGTAGCCAATCAGAACAGAGCTTGTTTACGTTTATCAGTCTTAAAGGCACTGGAACAAAAACAGTCTGTGTATTTGTATGGGGTAAAAGAGAAGTTGGTTAATAATTAAAATATATATATTTTTAATTTTAATAAATTTAAAAAGTGGACCGCCCAGGGGAAACATAAAACACAAGAAAATGTAGATAATGGGCCCTTTAAACACAAAGATATTGGATATATGCATTTAAGAATAGTTGGAAAAAGCAAGTGACATCATTATTTAAGCGAAATCAAGGAAGACAGTTTGGAAAACATGAAGATGAGCGTTTCAAATACAGCTTTTTTTAGCAACTAGATGTTTAATGTTAACATCATTTGCGGGTATTTTTCCTGACTTAAAAAGCCCTTAAACTGCAGGGGTCGAATGTGGGCCCGCGTTCTTCATAATCGCTGAATCCTAAGCCTGCAGGTTAACAGGTTAACAGTGAAAATCAACAACGTCAAAAGACTGCACGCTGCCCTTGAGCTTTTAATGGGCAGTCTACAAGAAACAGAGAGGTCTTCCAATTAGCCCCCCAGAGCTGGAAGAATGTGGAAGCATTTGAACGTCAGCATCCTCATAGCTACGCAGCTCCACGGGCTGACGAACAGAGCGTTCTTATGTGTGTGACAGTGGGAGAGAGACAGAGGCAGGCTCTGAGGAAGACTGACCGCCATTGTTCTCACACAGATGTGCCCAGGGCTCCGTCCCCATCACACTAAACACTGTAAACATGGCATTAGACACCAGAGAGAGGTGTTCAAGGGCTTATGTGAACAGCAGAGAGGATCACATTCTTGACATCTAGTAAGCTACATGCTGTTTATTTTGATCATACCTGCATCTAGTAAAGAAGTAATTTATTTAATTTTTCATATTCAATAATTACACAGAAAACAAAGCAGATTCTTATGTTACAGGAGTGAGGAATGGGGGCCTGGAAAGCTGGGTATTTTTTTAAATGAACAAATATTCAGTTGATATTTTAGACTAAAAAATATGGAAACCAAAACAGCTGCATTTGCAATGACAAGGTAACACACACCTTTTATTTAATGTGGCTTCATTGCTGAAGCTTGAGCTTTAGCGAGAGCAAAAGTTACATTTATTAATCTAATCTTTAACAGTTTGTAGCGCAAAATGGTAACAATAGCATCATACGCTTATAAGCTATATAAAAACATTTTATGTCTGAAACGCTGGTCAAATACTCATGGCAGACCAGACCTCTACATACATGTAACCCTCCTATTATCATTGGGGTCAATTTGACCCTATTCAGTGTTTAATGCCTCTAAATAAATGATTGACATCATTTTTGGCTTCGTATTTAATGCCTTTTAGTAATTTAATGGGGGCAACTTCATAAATATAAAATTAACACGTTATGTTTTCAATGTCCTGAACACATTTAGTATGCGTTGGTGTTCTTTGGGGTCAGTTTGTTTTATAAAACAAAAAATATCAACAGACATTTGTTTTGTTTTGGATGATATTGGGATGATGATATTGAGGTCACTATAACATACAATTTTATAATCTAATAAACCTTTCAGTTATTTAATTAGCCCATTTCATGAAAAACCAAATTTTCTTCACTTTTTTTTAAAGAAAGGTTTTATGGAGAAGTTATTTATCATTCACTCTGCAGTTCATACAGTCCATATGTATGGAAACTAAACTGCATAAACAGCCCAGTTTGAGTTTATAGTTTTTATGATACATATATTTACATATATCCACCTTTTTAGCTTACATCTTTCTGGGGGACAAAACTTGAATTAGCCTCGTAGCCTGGGCAACTAAAAAACAAAACTTATTCACACAACATCTTTACCGATTGACTATGTATGGGCTAAGAAAAAAACTGTAAATGATTTTTCAGTAATCTGCTTCTTTAAAGTCTCATGATTCTTGATGTATGTGCATAAAACAGCTTGTAGACTAATGATCTCATACATTAAAGCTTTTTTTTGTGACTCTAGATAAATTATCAGACCTAGTATTAGAAACACATGCTTATCACCTTCGGTTCTCATGACTCCTCGTCATGACAAGAGAATGCAAAGTTGCATCACAATATTTGCCTGGGACAACATCACATGAGGTGACATCATAGCCCAGCTACAGATGAGCTACTGTGAGTTTGATCAAGGCCAGAGGGGTTATCTGTAATGCCACGTGCTTTATCAGTCAGTGAGTAATATGATATCAGTCATAGTTTTAGTGCATGTGATATTATGTCCAGAGTCTCAATCCTATTTTACAATAGCAAACATCATTTGTAATAACGATATAAATAAAAAGAGGAATATAAACAGGTTTAATAACATTTCATACAAATTAATATAGAAAATCATTAGTAAACATTTGTGTCATGAGTCTCGAGTGAGATGTTTATGACCCAGATTGCTGTAATTATGTGGAGCGTACAGATCAGAGCTCATGCACACAGATTCTGAGAATACTTTCCATTCAGCTCCGTAACACAGACTGAGACTAAACCACTTTATACTGCGTACCAGCACTGGGCTTGTGCTGGGATCACACATACCACACGTAAAGTTGCCGGGTTAGAATTCCATACATCTCTCATAAACATGTGGAATAACAAATGGCCTCCACAGGCTCCTTTTTCCTGGTACATAATGGGGTTATTCCATAAACAGATTAGGCACAGACCAGACTTTATATACGTTTCTGCAAATGATTACATATAAGGCTCTACAGATGAAATGTACATTATTTCCTTTATCCTAAATGTAGATAATCAGCCAAGAAACATTTAGTATCCAGTGCTTATTTACACCAATCAGGCATAACATTATGACCACCTCCTTGTTTCTACGCTCATTGTCCATTTTATCAGCTCCACTTACTATATAGGTGCACTTTGTAGTTCTACAGTTACAGACTGTAGTCCATCTGTTTCTCTGCATACTTTGTTAGCCCCCTTTTACCCTGTTCAGTGGTCAGGACCCCCATGGACCCTTACAGAGCAGGTACTGTTTGGGTGGTGGATCATTCTCAGCACTGCAGTAACACTGACGTGGTGGTGGTGTATTAGTGTGTGTTGTGCTGGTGCGAGTGGATCAGACACAGCAGTGCTGCTGGAGTTTTTAAACACCTCAGTGTTACTGCTGGACTGAGAATAGTCCACCAACCAAAAATATCCAGCCAACAGTGTCCTGTGGGCAGCGTCCTGTGACCACTGATGAAGGACTAGAGGATGACCAACACAAACTGTGCAGCAGCAGATGAGCTATCGTCTCTGACTTTACATCTACAAGGTGGACCGATAAGGTAGGAGTGTCTAATAGAGTGGACAGTGAGTGGACACAGTGTTTAAAAACTCCAGCAGCGCTGCTGTGTCTGATCCACTCAGACCAGCACAACACACACTAACACACCACCACCATGTCAGTGTTACTGCAGTGCTGAGAATGACCCACCACCCAAACAGTAAAATAAAATGGACAATGAGCGTAGAAACAAGAAGGTGGTCATAATGTTATGCCTGATGTGTATTTGCCTGAGCTACAAGGCTAATCTACCTAACAAATAAAGGAAGTGCTAATTAGCCTTGTCTAAATCATCACACTAGGCTTCAAACCATGTTGAGTTGTTAAAGAGACACTCCAGGCAAAATTAAGAATTGGAATCATTGCTTCATCATTGTAAACATGCTCATCTCCCACAGCTGTGCCACAGTGGTCACTAAAGCAGGATTTTCTGGTTTAAAGACTATTAAACCCCCCTTCTGATGATGTATCATGAAGGTGGGAGGAGCTTTTGAAAACTGCTTTGGGGTGCAGACTCTTTGGAAGCTGGCTAATGCAGGAGGAAGCCAGACAGCCAATGCTACTACAGCACATCTGTATTTATTGGCTCCTACCAGACTTCTCGCTCAAAGTGTTCTGTAAACGCTCCACTCCATCTCCAGTCCGGGTTTTCTGTTTCCCGCTCCTCACTGACTCACACATCAAAGAAAACCTCAACCTCTGTGGCTATGCTAGCAGTAAGGATTTCTTTAGTGAAGTGAGAGGGGGGTTGTATGATGTATTAGTGATAATGGATGTAATGCATGCTGGGTATTGTAGTAAGAGAACAGTGATGGACGAAATGTAAAATGGTGAATTCTGTCAAATCAATGCTGAAGGATGCAAATGCTGCACTATAGAATATGGCGTATTTGGATGCGACAAATAACATTAAATGCTGGTTTTAGGCTGGAATTCCCCTTTAAAGGGGGGCTAAAAGGGAGGTACATGCAAGGCGTTCTAAGGGAAAATAGTGCCCAAAGAAAATATATTCTTTTTTTGGATTTAACACAATTTTACCATATAAAACTCAGAAGACGTGTGTAGGTTCACTGATGGTTTTGGATAGTAAATAAAATGGCTATTTTTGTGTTGTTTCCTATCACCGCTTGTAAAGAAATTCAGGGTTCTCTACAATGCACCATTTCACCATCACACCACTCTGAATTTCTTGAACTTGCTAACATCTTCCACCTGTCCAGGGTGTTTCCTGCCTTCTGCCCAGTGACCGATAGGATAGGCTCCAGCACCTCCCCCAGAAAGATAAGCAGTTTAGAAAATGTGTGTGTGTGTGTGTGTGTGTGTGTGTGCTAACAGCTTCCCTGCTTAAAAATCAGCACAGACTAGCATGAGTTCCATACTGGTTTAAGCTGGTTTATGCTGGTTTTCGCTGGTCACCATGATCATGTCAAAACACAACATGTTGTCGCTGTCAGAATAAACCCTCCTATCTCCAAAAAAACAGGAGAAGGAAAAAAAATCTTAATAACTTTTAATGGAAGTTAATGTAACCAGATTTTTCCAAATAATTTTGGACCATTTCTTTTGGTCTGTTGATTGTAAAATATTAATACAATGCAAAGGGAAACTGGAGTTTTCAAGTTGTGCAAAAAAAGTAAAAGACAACAAAAAAAAAGATAGAAGGTTTTGTGTGAGAGCGACGGTATGCTTGTGTAGCTGGTGACCAGTTATGCTAGCCTATGCTTTTTTTTTTATGATTGAGTTATGCAGAAATGTAGAAGAATTCCCCTCTAAGTAATCAAATACATTTGCTTATGTGGCTTTAAACACTGTTCATACTGTTATCTAAGGAATGGACTAAGAAAAGCATGTTGTACAGCTAAGAACTGTAGTAATAGACATCTTGAAGCCCGAATTTTGTTCCTACTCTTTGTAGCTCCAGTTCAAAACTACATTAGCAAACTTCAGACACTGAATGTCTCTTGGCTGATTGACTACTTTTGGTGTTGTCATTAAACCACTGCTTTAAATCCAAGACTACAACCACTCTGACTGTGATGCCAGGCCTAAGTGAGCTTTGGCTTGAATGTAATACTTTCTCCATGTTTATGAAGTGCTTATCAAAGAGAGCCCATAAACTCCAAATCAAGAAACGGTCTAAACAGATGGCAGCTCTTCTTATTATCCACAGTCCTTTAATATGAACCCATGTGTGGTCTGTGTGGAGCCTCTTTGAAAAGTCTGGATCCTGAATGTAGATGAAAGATCTTAAGTGTCTCTCTCAGCAGGAGATGCGTAGGGAATTACTGGTGTTTCTGTGACCTGGGGTCACTCTGGGCTGTGACCCCACTGTGACCTCTTCTTCCCCATACAGGAGCTCACTGGAGACCAACTGTTCACACAGAGTGTCCACGACCTGAAAAACAGGGGTGGGATCTGTAGGCAAAGAAAGCAGTTAATGTCTTTATCAACTTCAAGCGAAAGACAATAAGGGACTAGTACTGTATCTGGAGCATTGGGCCACCTACCTTGGGCTTTTCTGCTGCATAGATCTAACGTGTCCAATAGAATTTTACCCAGGGCTCTCCGAGTGACCCTCTGTCAGGTCAGAAAAAATATGTTTCAATTAGTTTACCTAGATACATTGCATAACAATAATTTATGTTGTGTTCATTTATTTATTATAAACCATAATAAAGAGGTTTGAGTCGAATACTGTCTCCCTCAGTAATACAAAGATGCACAGTTCCAAACAGCTTGTAGACACCAAAGCACTTAACATGTAAATGTGTTAAGATAAAGATGAAAAGTTTAGTTCTGAAGTTTCTAAGTCTAAAGTTTCAGAAACGACACTGCCTCTCATTACACGCTTTGGACACCAGGAGGCAGTAGAGCTCTACTATGACACATCAGAATGGAAGTTTAAAGAGGAGTTTAAACATTTTATAACTGATTTGTCATCAAGATCTAAATGAAGTTTTAATTCTGGAGAAACTGAGTCAGAATTGTTTACAACGGTGGCAAAAGGAACCAGACATCTGAACCATTTTAATGCTTTTAAAAGATACACTAAATGGTTATGAATACTTTGCCTAATATTGTTTTAAAAAATAGTTTTAATACAAGGATTTGGCCTATTTTTTTTTATTTATGAAAGAGAGGTGCCAGAATGGGTGTTGTAAGGTTTGTATAATAGGTTAGTACCAAAGCATACATTTTTTTAATGTAATAATTTGTTATGCATGTATTCAAAATGAAAATTATGAATACAATATTCTGATTATGTACTTTAGATCTGTTATGTGAGGCAATTTAAGTCCAATGGTAACTTTACAGGAAAAGGAAAAAACCTACTTTACTTTTAATGTAAGTCAATGGAACCAAACTTTTTTCCAAGTCATTTTTGGTTGTTTCTTTTAGTCCAATCATGATGAAATTTACACACAATATAAAGGACAGCAGGCATTTTCAAATTATGCCAAAAACTGAAAAATGACAAAAATGGAGATATGAGGTTTTCTTCCGACAGCAGCAATATATATACACACCGATCAGGCATAACATTATGACCACTTCCTTGTTTCTACGCTCATTGTCCATTTTATCAGCTCCACTTACTATATAGGTGCACTTTGTAGTTCTACAGTTACAGACTGTAGTCCATCTGTTTCTCTGCATACTTTGTATCTCTATTTGTGATGGTTTTCAGTTTTTGACATAATTTGAAATTGACTGTCGCCCTTTACATTGTGTGAAAATTTCACAAAGAATGGACCAAAAGAAACAGCCTAAAATGGCTTGAAAAAATGTCTGGTTCCATTGACTTGCATTAAAGGTAAAATAGGTTTTTTTTCTTCTCCTGTAAAGTTATCATTTTGGAGATACGAGGTTTTGTTCCGACAACAGCGATATATATGTATTTATATATATACATATCTCACATCAACATACTTTTTCTCGTAGCTGCAGCAGCACTGAGAGAGTGTCTGTGTGTTTCCCCTCCAGTAAGGACAGACTCACTCGCTCTGTCTGCACCGTCTTCACCATCTGAACCTCCAAGCTCAAACTGTCCACCTCCTCCTGCTTCATCTGCACGTCCTGTCACACGCACGCACACAGGAGAGGGGAGATGGCTACACCGTCACAATCCTACTCAAACTCCTCATACTCTATTTTTATCAGTGGTATTAAAAATATGTTCTCACTTTCTCCAGTTCCTTCTCGTCCGTGAGCATGTGGTGCCTTCGGCCCCTCACCTTTGCCTCTCGTGACCCAGAGCAGCCACATGGTTCAGTATAGCGTCCTGTAGAGTTCTGAGACAGGAGCAGGTGACAAACAGCTGTTTTCTGACACCTAGAGAATCAGAGGTATGTTGGTGAAACACATCATTATGGTTTATGTAACATCATGGATATTACCGTCCAATATTTTGGACTGTTTTTAATATAAATCCGATTTTGTATATCGCTGCTGTCGGGAACAAAACCTTGTGTCTCCTCATGTAACCATTGTCCTTTACATTGTGGCTAAATTTCTAAAAGAAACGGCCCAAAATGACTTGGAAAGACGTCTGGTTCCATTGGCTTATGTTAAAAGTAAAGTATGTTTTTTCCTTCTCCTGTAAAGTTCTAATTTTGGAATACGAGGTTTTGTTCCGAGGTTTTGAAAGCCCGGGTTCTCAACGACTGAGAACTGGCGTGCAGACTGCAGGTCACATAACAACGCAGTCTCGCCAAGCTAGTAGCTAACAAAAAGGCAAAAAGAGAGATTTAAGACGAACATTTGAAGACGAATGGACTTATTGGCATTTATAAGCAACACAGTTGGTTTCCTGGAACGTTAAACCTGCAATGAGAGACTGTCAAACACTAAAAAGTTGCGAAGATGAAGTCGCTTCCCTTTCGAATTTTCCCGTTCCACCTTAAATGGTGCTGCATTTACATTCTGGCGCCTCAGGCAGAATTTAAGGTGGAACAGGAAAATTAGAACAAGAAGCTGGCGAATGAGAAGCGACTTCAGCCTCGTGAAACAGTCGAACACTGAGAGACATTTTACAAGAAACTGATCTACTTTTGGGGAAAAGTTTTCTGGCAGAGATGGGTTTTTGTTATGTGCTGCCATGGACTGTCCGGGCGCTGCATTTACCCACTTCCAAGTTCCGCCTTTTTAAGTTCCGTCAACATTACGTTCTAAATTAAACATTTAGAAAATCGATTTTTGACATTTGTGAATCGATTCAGAATCATCCATGTCCGCATCGCGATACATATAAGAATCGATTTTTCTCCCACCCCTAGTACTGACCCAATACCCAAAATTAGTACTCAATATCCAACATTAGCAGAAAACGCTGTATTATGTATCAGATGAAATAAAGAATGAAGCTGACCCGATTCTGTAAGAAATCCAGTTTTATGTGTTGTTGTGTTATGTATGTTTTATGATGCTACTATGTTAAAGATATACAGCGACTTTTTTATTATATTTTTGTATGAATTGATTTTATTATATTTCGCATGCCTTACACAATTAGTTAGTATACAAATAGTTAAGTCTTGCACACATTTATGCAAAATATGTAGTAGTTTACACACACACACACACACACACACACACACACACATATATATATATATATATATATATATATATATATATGGTTTATCTCCTCACCCCTTTGAGCAGTTATGAAGCCTGTTGATCAGCCGCTTCACCTCCAGCATACAGCACTGCCCTTCCTCCTCTCCCCTCTCCTCCTCCTCCTCTTCCTCATCAGAAGCTGCTCGGCCCTCTACTGCCCTCTGCAGGCCTTCTTCTGCTATGGCAAGATCAGTAAATCAGGAGGTCAAGAGCTTATTCTATCACAAGTCTTCAATTTCCGCTTTAAAATAGTTAGACTTTTAGGTGATGTCTGTTTATAGGACCTCTACGAAAGTGGTGTAATAACAAGCTGCTACACTGCATATTTATTTTATTATATTGACAGCACAAACATCTCTGACGCTCACGTCATCTCGAGTGTGAGGTGGTCAGAACGTCTTAAGTCAGTCTTTTACTCGTCTTGATGTTGCAGCATAATCAACCCTGTTTAATATTATCATAAGTTTTAAGTCTTGGCTCATGCAAATAGTGACCCTGCAAGACCCCCATTTTTTGCAAAATCATAGTCTGTGACTAAAGACTCTGATTGTCTTCAGGTGTGAGACTAAAGTCTGACTCCCTCTCACATCTAAACACAACGTCATGGTTTTTAGTCACAGACTATGATTTTGCAAAGACTGGGGATCTTGCAGTGTCACTATTAGCAAGACTGCAACTAGATTTTTCAGATTATTTCCCATCATGCACCTGGTGGAAATTTACAAGCAGAGAAACCTTTTTACTTCTCCACTCTGTAGACGTACAGAGGAGAAGACACTTTGGCTGGGCGTGTAAAGATCTGGGGCTCAGCTCAGTTCATAGAACTGTATATTCTGGCAGATCATCACTCAGTATTTTATTAATTAACCTGTAAAATGTGCAGCTACTTTATTATTTAACATAAAGATTCACACATCAACAAAACAGGCAGTGATTCAGCACTGTGGATTGTGTGTTATGAACTAAACCTTAAAAACAAACAATGATGATTCATGCTTCTTCAATAAAGCCATTCTTAAAGTCCTCCGCACATTTCCTTACATCACTGTTACACTGAGTGAACCTGAAATATTAAAACAGTCAGTTTACATTGTTTAGTTATAATGATTATTGCTTTAAAGTGGAGCAGATTTTCCTTTTCTACAGAGATTTCAGGTGCGCACACATTCTCTCTCTCTCTCTCTCTCTCTCTCTCTCTCTCTCACCCTTAACTCATGAGCCAAGACTTCAAACTTATGATAATATTAAACACGGTTGATTTTGTCGCAGTGACAAGACGAGAAAAAGACTGACCTAAGCCGGCCGTCCTGACCACCTCACACTAAACGATCGAGATGCCACGAGCGCAACGTGACTCTAACAAGACTCCCTTGATTTTATTCCAACACTGGAAATTTGTCTGCGCTGGTGAAATCGCGTGAAAAGTCATCTGGTGTAAGTCCGGCATAAATCAGTCTCAGACTGAAGGACTAACACTAAGGTGTTTCTCACCGCCTCTAATGAAGGTTTCGTCTCGGCCCGTGGGGAGGACACGAGGTGCGGATTCGACAGAAGCTTCAGGTCTCTGCTCACATGAAACCCCACAGGTACACTGGGATCTGCCAGAGAGTCGGAAAGAACTGTTAGCATTTACGGAGTGTGAATTGTGGTTTGCTAATAATGTGTTAAGTAGGGGGAACAACATGAACTCAACTTTATACTGCATCTCCTACCATTCGGACGTACACAATACATCACAATATCAGAAAACTTCATAAATGTTTAATACTAACAATAATAACAATACTAAAAAAAACACAGCGGTAATAACAATAATTACTGTTATTATTGTTGATGTTATTGTTGTAGTTGTTAAAGCACTTTCATAAGCCCTTCAGTGTAGTAAAAATAAAACACTGTGAGACAATTTCAGCTAAATGTTTTTGTTTATTGTGTAAATACTATCACACTCTAGTGTCTTCTTCGGTTCCCTTTAATGGAACCAGGGCTCTGTCTTGTAAAGCAGGGTTTATGGCTTAGTCAGATAACTTTGAGCTTAGTTTGAACTAACCCTGGATTTTCTGTCTCACCACAGGAGAACATTTTTACTGTGACACGCTGAATCGCCTCTAGTGCAGGTTAACCCTTGTGTGGTGTTGGTGTGTTTGTTACTCAGTGGTCTGGTGGACCCACAACATTATTGTTTATTAAATCAATACAGCCATAACAGTTTATGCAAAAATACCAGATGTTTAAAATATCACAAGCGTCCAGCATAGGGTTCTCCTTTAGCAGCTGTAGCCAGTCAGCAGCCTGTCCATGTTGTCCACCCTCACACATACACACACATACAAACACATACACACACACACACACACACACACACACTAACAGCAGGCCATGTAGGAGGAGAACAGAGTGAAGGACACAGCACCTCCACACTTCTATTCCCCGCGGGTTCACCCAACACCACATGTGTAATATAAATGTGTGGGGGGTGAACAGAGTGAAGACACTGAAAATGGGTTATTTTATATGTTCTTCACAGAAAATGAGCAAAGACCAAGAATCTGAGGTTGAAATAATAATAAATCACATAATTTTTTTCTTTTGGTAAACATTGAAAATGGGTCCCACAGACCTGAACACCACACAAGGGTTAACTTCAGGGTTTCACATCATAAACAGTTCTTGATCCATGTTTCTGACCAACCAGAGACAACTGAGGTAACTTTTTTCTTCGTGATGTTTGTGGAGTCAGTGCCCGTGTTTACTGTTTTAAATGTTTTACTTCCAGCATATTTACACAGGTTTATTCTTTGTTCTTTGAAAAATTAAACCACTCGGCTCCTCATGTCTCATGTGATTAGCTGTTTATCACAGATGTTATGCTTTCATGTGCACATGCAAAAGGATTAATGGTCCCACTTTATATTAAGTGTCTCTAGTAACTGTGTAGTTACATGTGAACAACATGTGCAACAACAACATAACTACTAATGATTGTCACCTTTACAGATGGATTACAGAAGTACAGCTTATGTGTATCAACTTCAGTTTTGCCTCATGTAATTACACAAGTGTATCTTAATAGTTGTAACAGCCTATTCTCTCTCATGTAGTTACACAAGGGCAATAACATAAATGTAATTACATTTGTAATTAGACTGGAACAGCAGTTTTTTTCCAGCAGTAAAGGAAGTATGTAATAACGTACATTAAGACATTACTTACATTGTATCTACCTGCTTTCCTAACATTTAGCTAGCATTTATGTTGCTAATGCTGAGACACTGTAACCAGTTTCTACTTTCTTTCATATTCATTCTGTATGTATATGTGATTTCTATATCACCACTCCATTATTACACAGTACCTACTTAACAACAGGAACTGTCCACTTATTTTTAAAGTGTAACTTTAACACTACACTACAGGAAAGTTCCTGTGTAGCTGTTATAAAGGTACAGTGTGATTATAGCATGGTATTAATCAATGTGACGTGATTAGGTTATCCTGTTACAACACAGTTATTCCACAGTAATTATGTAAAAAAAGACACAGCAGTGCTGCTGGAGTTTTTAAACACCTCAGTGTCACTGCTGGACTAAGAATAGTCCACCAACCAAAAATATCCAGCCAACAGCGTCCTGTGGGCAGCGTCCTGTGACCACTGATGAAGGACTAGAGGATGACCAACACAAACTGTGCAGCAGCAGATGAGCTATCGTCTCTGACTTTACATCTACAAGGTGGACTGACAAGGCAGGAGTGTCTAATAGAGTGGACAGTGAGTGGACACAGTGTTAAAAAACTCCAGCAGCACTGCTGTGTCTGATCCACTCAGACCAGCACAACACACACTAACACACCACCACCACGTCAGTGTTACTGCAGTGCTGAGAATGATCCACCACCCAAATAGTACCTGCTCTGGGAGGGTCCATGGGGGTCCTGACTACTGAAGAACAGGGTAAAAGGGGGCTAACAAAGTATGCAGAGAAACAGATGGACTACAGTCTGTAACTGTAGAACTACAAAGTGCACCTATATAGTAAGTGGAGCTGATAAAATGGACAAGGAGTGTAGAAAAAAGGCGGTGGTCAGAATGTTATGCCTGATCGCTGTACGTCCTTTAACTGCTGGAAAAGACATCTGATCTGTAGTGTATCATAAAGATACACATGTGTGATTACATAGGCTGTACTTCTGTAATCCAGCTGTAACACTGGCTAAAACATCAGTAGTTACAGTGTTGTTGCATTTCGCTGTTGTCGGAAGAAAAACGTGTATCTCCAAAATGGTGACTTTACAGGAGAAGGAAAAAACATACTTTACTTTTAATGTAAGTCAATGGAACCAGACTTTTTGGGCCATTTTTTTACTCCAATCATCATGAAATTTACATACAATGTAAAGGCCAACAGGTATTTTCAAATTATGTCAAAAACTGGAAAACGTCAAAAATGGAGTTATTAGAGACACAAAATTAAGTGGGATTGGTTTAATCATAGGCAAAATAGTATGGCAACATCCACCTTATGAGACAATGTCATGTCTGTATTCACTCGTATACAGATATATACCTCCAAGTTCTAGCATTAAGCAAGCCCCTGCACAATTGCGTACAACTGTGCAACACAGGTGGGTTTGTGGATATAGGATTTGTAGCGTGTGTGTGAGGGCTGTGTCTGCAGGCACAGTTGATACTATACTATGTAAGCAAAGCAGCAGGCTTCAGCTTGCCTGTCTGCAGAAGGAATGAGCATTACACCATCACATACCTACTTTGATGATATAATTAATCACAGGTACAGGCAGATGGGTGAAACATTAGACCTGATAAATGTGTATCTAATACAGCCCTGGGCGCTTACTTTAATTGCTTCATATGAACCATCATTTCTGTTAACCTGTGTTTAAATCATGACACTAAAAACACTCTTTTTAGATGAAATCTGTTCCGAGCAGGGCTGTAACTGTACCTTAACCGTACTTTACTTTATGTCCTGGTATCATATTTGCACAGTCTATTACTGTACTATTAATATTTGCACAGACTGTTACTGTACATGTTTTACTCTGCATGCTTATCCTTTTACACTATGCTGCTCTCACAGTACATACAACCAACATTTGCATTCTCTTGTATATATGTATATATAAATATACATAAATATATATATATATATATATATATATATATATATAGATAGATAGATAGATATTCTCTCTCTCTCTCTCTCTCTCCTTATTCTAAATATATACTAATGATTTCTTGTATAACTGTTTTATCACCTGTCTGTAAAGCACTTTGAGCTACCATGAAACGTGCTATATAAATAAAAAATAAAAAATAATAATAATTATTATATTATTATATTTATACTTGCTCATCTATATTTTTTACCTCTCTACTGTCCACAGTTATACATATAGTAACCACAACATCACTTACCACGGTTACTTCCTGCACTTTATATGTAAATAATACTGTATTTTGCTCTTCTGTTTAGATGCTATCTGCATTTAATTGGCTCTGTACTTGTACTCTGCACAATAACAATAAAGTTGAATCTAATCTAATCTCATCTAATCTAACTGTAGTTACTGTAAAAACAGCAGCACGCCTTTCCAGTGGAGCATTAGCTGAATATTAAGCTTGTTTAATGGCCTGGAAATCAGTTGTCATAAAGCAACTAAGTCTTGTAGGTCAGCCATTGTTGCAGAGTTTTGCATATATCTTTGGCTTACTGCCCACTGCATTCAAGCAGCCACAGTCTCCTGGCACCCGCTGACCACTTTGGCTTTTAAAAGGGCCAATGACATGTCAAACCAAATTCCCAACGTCCCTATATGAAAACTAAGCTGCAAAAACTGCCTTTAACTGAAATGAATATGGTTGTGATGTCACATTTACATATGACCATCCATTCAGCCTTCAGCAGTTTAGCTACACATTCAGACTGAAGTGATAAGGAGTGTTGTTACTGCATACACTGTGTTGCAGAATTGCTTGCAAAATTCTGACTGACAATCAACCGATCACTGTTTAGAAACCATCTCAAACACTATATCCTGACCAGTGGCATCTCTACATTAGGGGCCTGACCCCACCAGATGTCACTGTGGAGCATGTATATAGATCAATAATTCAGTATAAAAACTAATATATGTACATATTTTTTTCTTCGTAATTAACATTGTTGTGTGTTTATTACATATGACAAAAGTAGGGCTGTCTGATACATTTCAAATATCTTCCTGTACCTGTTGTGTAAATGCCAGTAGGCTCCCTATTTCTCCTAGCAGTCTTGGTTTGGTGAGCATGGGGCCCGTCAGTGCTTGTCTGACCAAGTGAGCAGTTAAAAACACTCTGCGCATGTTCAACACATTTTCAGTAACCAGCTGTGGGGCCCGATCATGTTGGCCCCATGCTGAGAGCAGCCAATGAAAAATAATACATTTACATACATCCAGACATTTAGTAACGTTGTTTACGATATGGGCGTTGCTACACAGCTAGCCACTGTTCCTCATCAGTTGTGCTAGCCACTCATAATAGCAAGGCATAATAATAAGTCGAAAACGCAATAAAAGTTAAATTTGTTTCCAGCCATTAGAGCAGAAATTAGAGATTAAACATTTGAGACACACCAGCCAGAGGATTTCAACATCATTCAGTCTGGAAAGGACAAAAACTGCTTCAGTCCAGAGAGGTTCAAGAGAAAAACATGGTTAACTGTGAGTGCAGCTAAAAACACTCTGCTTTCCTCGCCTGCCTTTGCTGTGCTATCAGTTGAATTAATTCATGGATTGGTGGACTTTGAGAGAAAAGTTTTTGACTCTTTGAAAAGTTTGCCCAGATGAAAGATCGTCGTGCATCTTTTCTTTTCGAGCAGTGATCGTCACTGGTCAGTGATTCTGCATAAAGCGTGTTATTCCTAAAGCCTGGAAAGCGTGTTTCCCTGCTCTGATATGTTGTTTGGATGTGTATTTGCAGACCACAATGATCGTTACTGCTAGATAACTTTGGATTTGTGATGTGATGCTGTATAACAAGGTTTTGTGAGATCTAATATCATATCACTCATATTCCCGTCTCCACTTCGACTGTCTACTGCACCATATGGCATTAATTTGTGAATGTGTGAATTCATTGATGGAGTGTGTTTGTGTTTGGATCAGGTTTGTGTGTAGTTTCACTGACAAGTCAGCTGCTGTCCCTACAGTTTACTGTGCCCCACCAGGCTTTCTGTGCCAGAGACGTCAGTGATCCTGACAGCAAGCAATGCAAGCGACAACAAGAACTATAGGCCCCCTTTAAAATCCAGGAAGCTATGTACACGATGCTTTGTGACACAATGCACTGTTTTTCATGGACAACCCGTTTCTAATTTTTCCAAATGAATGAGGAGAAACTTATAGATGTACTAGAGAGAGGGAGGGATTTCTACGACTCTTACAGTAAACCGTCTAGTCAGTTGCATTTAAAGTAGCAAGTTGTTTTTTGAGACAGCAGACATGGAATGGTCAGTCTTTTGAGGTTAGTCTTGGCCCAACATGGACACCAAAGCACTTCTTTTTACTCTCATAATACCTAAAAGGAGATGCCGGACTCCATCAACTGCATCAGACAACTTTCTTGGTGGGGCACGAAACAAGGCGGTCTAGCTGGTACTGAAGCGTTCAAGCAGTGTCTGACGTTCAGGCAGGTGAGTGTACAGAACACACCTATGAGATAAATGATCAGACGAAGCTGTAAGTTTGCCTGTACATGTGCTAGAATGTAACTGCACCTCCATTTAGGGTGGAATGTAGAATATGAACCAAAAAGTTGGCAAATAAGAAGCCAACTCAAGCCTTGTAGAACTTCAAACGAGAAACAACACTGAGCACTTTTTACTGGGCCCGCAGTGCTAGAGCTAAAATCGATATAGGTTCATATATCATTTTTATTTTTACCATTTTACACTATGAAATGTTTTAGATTTACTTTGGTTATTAATGGTTACTTTTTAAAAAGTAAAGGGACGTCCCAGAATAATAGGCCACTGTTAACATACAAAAATAGGTTTACCCAAGCATCTTTTCTTCCAACATATTTTTCAGTTTTTGACATAATTTAAAATTGCTTGTTGCTCTTTACATTGTATATAAATTTCATGAAGAATGGACCAAAAGAAAGGATCCAAAATCACTTGGATAAAAGTTTGGTTCCATTGACTTCCATTAAAAGTAAAGTAGGTTTTTTCCTTCTTCTGTAAAGTTACCATTTTGGAGATACAAGGTTTTCTTCCGACAACAGTGATATATATTGTGGCATATAATGATACCGTCAAAAAATATCAAATATACCGTGATATAATTTTTTGGCCATATCGCCCACTTCTAAGCTGAAATATATATATATTTTCGATATCTGCAAAGATTTCCGTCTGAACAATTCTTTATTTTTCAGCACAGTCTACTTCTTGAACAGGGAACAGTGCAGAGCAGCCAATCATAACAGAGATCATTTACATATCTCAGCCTCAAAGGCACAATAACAAAGCCTGTTTGACTTTAAGGGATAAAGAGAGATTACTAAACACGACTTGGGTTTTTATGTGTGTAAAATCAGGGGACATCACTAAGATACATGACAAAATGTTGAATATGAGGTCTCTAAACAGGAGGAGAGGGGAGTGCACATGGAGGAAGGGGGCAAAATTCAGACTAATCACATGGCTATTTTACCTTTGAGCTTTTCAAAGAATCTGCGTACAGTTGACTCACTGCCAGACAAACCCGCTCACACACAGCACTGGCGCTAACACAGGATACAGTAAAACACTGTAATTACCTGCTGGGGTGATTGTCTGCTGTAGTCATAGGATAATGACTAATAAGCTACAACAGGAAACTAAGCAGTCTTGTATTATTGTGGCCAAACTTAAAACGTTTCTAAGGAAAGATGAGCACGCCTAAAACGCATCCTGACAGCGCTCATCTCTTTGACTCTGTTTCTAGACAACTCCTAGTATTTGCCTCAACTCCAATCCTCCTCCCCTTAGCGCTCCTCAAAATAATTAGTAAGTAACATTTTCTGAACTTATGCAAGATCAATGAGAAGACACAATAAAAGTAAAGTCTGTGGCTAATGTAAACAGTTGCATAAAAGGCTGGAACACAGTCCACGACAAGCTTACATTAGAGTTTAGCCTATCTGTATTTGGAAAAGACCAAATCAGGGGGTTGTGTTGAGTAATTTCATGGGCATTTGAACAATTTTTGCAATTTAAATATCTACATTTTTTTAAACAAACAGTTTTTGAATATCTCAGAGAGGGAACAGTAACATGGAACATGTATAGCATTCAGCTAGAAAGTTCAGTTGACTAAAGCCCTATTCAAGCTGGATTAGTTTTACCTGAAGATGTGCTGGAGTGATTATCGATGACATCTGTGATTTTAATCCAGTACAAATCTGCAATGTCCTTAGTTTATGTAGTTTTTCAGTAATAATTCCAAAACGAATTACCTTCTATTATACGCTGAACTCAGAGCTCACTCAGTAACAGTAGTTCTCCTTGAATCAATATCACAATAATGTGATAACAGTAATGGGTAATGGGTTTTTTTTTTTTTTTCACGACCTGAAACCAAAGCTAACAGCTGCAATGGAGCTCAGCCAAAGCACAAGAAGAAGGAAATTGAAATGTCTCAGAGGTATCTCTCATAAAGCAATGCGCTTTCTGCCTTGTTGGGCGGCATTTGGTAAATTTCACTTTCACGTCACTTTAACCATCATCAAAAGCAGCTTTATAGATATTTGTGACACAAATCAGTGTATATTCCCTCTAATGTGCTATAAGTATGCAACATCATTTCAAACTGCCCTTGATAAGGGGCATCACCCCACATGGAAATGAGATGTAAAGTCTACTCCCTCGTCCAGTGTTGCGTTTTGGGTTTTTTTTAGCATGATATCTGTCAGTAAGCTGCACAATGTGTTATTTATTTTGAAGTGTGGCAGTTGTCTCAATATACTATCATAAATGACCCGATGATGTTTCGATCCCGGCTATTTAGGGTAATGTGGGGAAATTACCCAGATGCTTTATTCTGAATCGGCCAGTCAAATCACATATAAATGACATTACCAGACCTCCTCTGATGAAACTAATCCAGCTTGAATAGGGCTTACACGATTTATCTTTGTCTTTGAGGCATATAGCTAGGGCCATAAATATCATTTATTTTTGGACATTGGTTACTGTTATTTTAGCTGTGTACTAAGTACATACCAGCACACACATTCTACTAAGGAGTTTTTAGAATTTTTTTAGGAGTTTTTAGGACAATTTAAAGGTATTTACATCCAAATCAGGTGAACAGTAATCAGAAGTAATCACATACAAGGTCTAGACTTGATTTGAAGTGTGGTATTTGCATTTAGAATCTGTTCCTGTCAAGTAACTCTCAATATGAAGTCCAAAGAGCTCTTACTGCCAGTGAAGAAAGCCACTGTTAGGCTGAAAAATCAAAACAAAACAATCAGAGAAATAGCAAAAACATTAGGACTGGCCAAATCCACCATTTGGTACATTCTTAAAAAGAAAGAATGCACTGGTGAGCTCAGAAACACCAAAAGGCCCACAGTGGATGGCACTTCACAAAGCAGATGAACAATGACCCGACGCATACTGCGAAAGCAACATGTGTCAGTATGGTTTATAAAGTAGTATGTCTGGATCGCAGTGGGGGAGTTGGACTCATTGCTTTAGCTCGAACCTCGTCAGGTTAAAAAACGAGCGAATAAACTTTAAGATATTTTACCCACCTGAATCTCTCCAGCTCTGCCTCGAGGTTCTGGACTTTCTCTTGCAGTGGAGTCACCTGCTGGGCCACATCCTGGATCTCTCTGACTCTCTTCAGTCCTGCAGCCAGAGCACCTCTCGCCTCCTCTGCCTTCTTCCTGATCTCGGCACTCTCTCTCCTCAAGCTGCCTAAAGCCTCCTCCAGCCTGCTGACCTCTTCATAGGCCACCACCAGCTCCTCCTCCAGCCTCTGGTTGAACCTCATCGCCTCCTGCAGCTGTCCGTCCCGGGACGCTCGAATCAGCTCCAGCTCCCGCAGCAGGTCCTTGGTGCGCCTCCGGCTATCCCGTCCGACACTCTTCAGCTTTTTTACTCCCATTTCGGAGCTTTGTCTCTCAGCGACCTCCCCGAGTCTGCAGGGCGGTGCCAGCCGCTCTCTCCGTAGAGCCACCTCAAGGGCCATGCAGCGGGCATCACTGCTCTGGAGAGCCGAACGAAGGTCCTCCACCAGCTCCCTCAGACTGGCGTTCTCCATCTCCACTTGCTCCCGCCATGTCCTCTGCTGCAAATCCTGCCCTGGAGTTACAACAGGAAAGAGAATTCTTCAAAAGAAGGGCCCATGTCCTACAGTCCACTTACGACATATGTATGGGTTTATGTACCAAAAGCAGTCATAATTCATTTTTATGTTATATATATGCCTCAGAATTAAACACACTGTTTCTTTAGGACTGATATATGCAAATGATCTCTGTTCAGATTGGCTGTCCTTTATTATGCTTCATTCAAAAAGCAGTTGAAACACTCCTGATAACTTCAGCTTAAATGGGAGGGGCTAAATACATGATACCACTTGTGAAAATGAACTGGATAATTTTGCATTCTTTTCTAATTTACTGCAAGACTTTCTTTACAAATCATATTACCAGCATAACTATTTAAAAGCAAAATCTGTTAAATATTTACATGAATTCTTAAATTTCTTAGTATTGGATACAGTACGTCTCTCTTCTCTTTAAGACAGCATGCACTTGAGCTGACATGAGCTCCACATGTTTGTGCAAAAACCTCTGATGATTAGATCAAACTCTCCTGAGGACTCGCCTGAACACGCCCCTCGATGGAAGAGGCAAAAGTCTGACCTTTAGGCCTTAACGTGGTCAATGTCACAAATTTGCTTAAGTGTGAATAGCGACAAAGAAACAGAGCAGAACCTTAAATACAGAGTGATTCAAAAAGATTTATCTTATTTCAAAATGATTTATTTCACTTGTAAATCATTACAGATTTAAATGCTTTAAATGAGCATAAAGTTTATATGTAATTGTAGAAGGTCTCAGTATGAACCTCCTCCAGCTGTACAGACAACATCAACACCATAGTCAAATTCATCCCATACTGGATTGAGCATTTCAGCGGAGATCATCCAGTGTTGTTGGGAGTGGCACATAAACAGAATCCTTAACGTACCCCACAAAAAACAGTCACATGGTGTGAGATCTGGTGATGCTGGTGACCTTTTTCTTGGAACTATTGGTACCAACGACGAACGCGCTGAGCTGTTGGAGGTTCACTGCCATACTGACAGTCAGAAACTATGACTTCCTCTTCCAATTGGTATGTGATTGGTTCCTAGGGGCTTCATGCTTCTAAAAATATGGCGCTTTGAAAACGGATGAATCTTTTTGATTCACTCTATATTTTTTCTTCATTTTACTTTTCTTTGTTTTCAATATTTGAAAATTCTTAAACTTTTTTTTTTCAAGTTTAAAGGAAAAAACTCCATGTGGTCTGATACTTTTGGATCCCACTGTATGTAAACGTGTTGCTTTTCGAGACGTCACAAAAACAGTTAATGAAGAACAGACTGTTTTTGCAGCTTATTTTCCATATATGGACAGTAAGTTTTGAAGCTTTAACATTGTTTACATATTACAGCAGTGTTTCTATTTAAAAATATATTTTTCCTTTATATGGATCCTTTAACAAGAAAGGTTTTATGATCTCACTGGTAAACCTTTCCAACCTCATAGTTCACCAGTGCATATGCATAACAGTAAGTTTACAGGAGAAGGAAAAATGTTCTTAATTTTGAATGGACGTTAATGTAGTTCATGTATTATTTGAGTCATTTTGGACCATTTCTATTGGTCTGTTCCTCAAAACCTTTTCAGAGTAAAGGGCACCTTGCATTGTCAAATTACTGAAAAAGATTTTAACTTTAAAATATGAATAAATAATTATTGTTAAGGGAAAAAGACCTAAGGATATGCAGACTTCATGTCCTTTTCTCATTCTACATCTTTTTCAAACCTTTACAGATTGCTTTTTTGTTTGTTTTCTAAAGTTTCCCAAACTTCCTGTGTCGCGTTTGCCTGTTGTTTGTGAAGGTCATTAACTGCACTATGGTCAAGGAAGACGTGAAATGTGATCTACATCAGAGAGACTGTGGCAGAGCAGAGAATAAGACAGCACAGACACACTATCTCTCTTTGAAGTAGACACTGAATACTGGCATCGTGACTTTGACCACAGACTCACATATTCTGAATGTCCATACTTTGGAAATGAGTGTTTTCAAACTCTCCACTTTCCAGTCTCTTTTTCCCCTCAAGGCTTGGGATCGGCTAGGAGTTTATGAGTGACTGAACATGGGTGGGGAAAACTAATGTGTCTGACTCTGAGCCAAAAAAGAAAATAGTGGAGCCTGCAGGCATTTCCAGGCAGTAGTTCTTAACCCTGGTGCTGCACTGTCAGAAATAAAGGTACTGAACTGTCTCTGGGGCAGTTCCCCTCTTGTCACAGGGGTGGGACCCTCAAGGGTACGTCTCAGTACCTTTAGTCAGGAAACATAACTGTATCATAATCCATTGAGATTATATTATCTAAGCTGTACTGACTCCACACACCCCGTCTCGTCTCCAGGCTTTTATTTTATTGTTCTATTTTAAAACGTTCGGTTATAAAAGGTACGAATACGAACTTTTCACTTGGAAAAACTTATTTAAGGTTCACAATCAGACCTTAAAAGCACTGTTGTACCTCTGAGGGAACATTTACATTGTTTGTACCCTGATGAACAAAAAATGTACCTGCACAGAAACTTTATTTCTGACAGTGTGGAGCACTGGAGTCCTGCACATTTTAGAGTATTCCTGCTCTAATGTACCCACTTTAGTCAGCTTGTTAGTTTGTTGAGTTAGATCAGGTGTGTTGGAGCAGGAAAAGACCAGGAGGTCCTCCAGAACCAGGTTTGTTATTACATATAACTGTGGGTAATACTCAGTATTATATGAGTATTGCATTGCAATTTTTACTGCATATATGATGAAGTGAATTCACTAAGTAGACAAACTCTCACAGCAATGTTCCAACATGTAGTGTAAAGCCTTTCCAGAGCAGTTGAGGCTGTTACTGCAGCAAAGTGTGTGTGTGTGTGTGTGTGTGTGTGTGTGTGTGTGTGTGTGTGTGTGAGACATATATGTATATGTATACATACACACACACACACACAATAGGCCCAAAGGTATCCAGACACCATTTCTACTTCAGTGAATTCAGTTGTCTAAACATCCAGTGTAATGAAATGAAGGGTATTAATAGGGAGTTTGTCCCCCTTTGCTGCAGTAACAGCCTCAACTCCTCTGGAAAGGCTTCACACTAGATGTTGGAACATTGCTGTAAGGGTTTGATTGCTTTCAGGTCAGGTACCGTTGTTGGATGATTAGTTCTGAATCACAAACACCACTCGAACTCATCCCGAAGGTATTGGATGGTGGGGTTCAGAGGTGGATGGATCCTTTTGAACATATAGTGTACTTTAAGGTGCACCCATTCATGGTAAAGGCGTTCAGTTGTGTGCACACACAGCTTGTAACTCTGTAGAAAAGCATTACCTGTAGAAAAGTGGGATGCTCTGGAGCAGCAGGTCACCATGCCCAACCCAAGGTGTCAGCTAGAGGGGCACAAAGCCCCCCCAGCATCGGGCAGTGGAGCTAAGGAACTGCATTCTCTTGAGTAATGGGGCTCCATCCAATACCTAAGTACTGAACTAATCATCTAACGTCAGTACCTGACCTCTCTAATGCTCTTGTGAATGAACGAAATTCAGCAATGTTCCAACATCCCAATCCCCTTGATTTCAGAAGAAACGCTGGATGATCTTCTCTCTAAAATGTTTTGGACAAATGGCAACTTTTTCTCGAACCGCGCTGTGCATTGTTGGTCTTAAAACTAAACCCAGATCAGTAGATGCACTTCACCTGTTTCTTTGCTGGATCCGTTTTTTGCGCCACTGCGTTCGCTCCGTGCGCGGTCCTGACTCAGGTCGAAGCTCACGCATCTCCTCCTCCGCACCCTGGGCCACCGCATGCGGATCTCCCTCTCCACATGTTCCGTCTCCGCCGTAACGGGGAGTCGAAGCCCCGCTGTCCCGGCTCGGGCTGCGAAAACCCCGCAGAGCCGCGAGTGGAAGTCCCTGAAGGTGAGCGCGGCGGGGAGCCCGGAGCAAACCTGCTCCTCCTCCAGGCTCAGACACCCGCACAGCAGCCTGAAGTCCTCTCCGGACACCAGCTCACCGTCCGCCGCGCTGCCGCCGCTGCAGACGGCCAGGTGGTGGAAAACCTCCTGCAGGTACTGGTCCACACCCAGCGCCAGAACCACCACCTCGTTGCGCACGCTGAGCTCCGGGCTGAAGTGGTGAGCCAAAGCGCAGCGGAGCCACTCGCTGGCCCGGGCCGGCCGGATAGGAGCCAGCATTGGCTTAAGGGTCAGCAGAAAATAACAGCTATGGAGGTCCCTCAGCTCGTCGCATGAGCCCGGAGAAAAGCCCCTCAAATACAGCTACGAAAATACACCAGCTAAACAAACTTTAGTCAGAAAACTTTAGTCAGAAAAAAAGCTACGAAAATCAATCAACTTCTGCATGTGTTCAACGATATGAGCAAATAATGACAGAAAACATCAGTACATGGTAGAAAATTGGAAATAAGAACACGTAACGGTAAAGCACTGTCACTTTCTGTGATTAGACACAAAAAAAATAAAAGAAAAATTATAAAATCACCACATTTTGTATTATTTAAACCGTAAATGTCTGTAAATGCGTGAAGAAACGAGGCGCAACATCGAGCTCTTGAAGTTTACCTGCTGATTCAAACTCCACCCCGATCCAAACGCGTTGGCCAATCACAGGCGATATCCGAGTCCGGAACGAATCGGTTCGCATGTCTCGGTTCTTTGCAATAAATCGGTCCAACCGATTCACAAGGAGCCGAGCATCCACACGTGTTTGGGCTCCTCATCCAAAGGCTGAAAAGTCCAAACATTCACATGCAAATCTTTATTAAAATGAGCCTCATAAAATCAAAACATTGCAAGTAACAAGCTCTTTGAATTCGTTTCTGTCTCCTCTCTGTAGACTGTGAATGAATGAATCATTGAATCCTGTTATTCCCTGGAACAGACCATTCGAAAGAATCGGTTCGGTTAACTGAATCGGTAGGAGGTGTGTACAACTTCAGGCAGGGACAAAACATGTCTTGCTCTTTTACACAATATTACAGTATTCGTTTTTTGTATTAGTTGTAAGAGGGAGGATTTGTGGGCTTCATAAAAACAGCCACTGAATGTTCAACAACTTAAAGTGACCCCAAAATGTGTTTGGGCATTTGTGGAGTATTTAAAATATCAAACCAAGTGGCATTTATTTTAAACGGACTAAAACTGGCCGGTGAGTTTCAGATCTTGATCATTTGAGGCAGCATCTGTAGGTTTGCATCCAAAATGTCTTTGAGTTCTCGATGCCGTCGATAAACGCCAACACTGTTCAAGACGTTCCACCTCTGTGCTGTACAGTAAAAAGTTTCCTCTACACAAAGATTTATGAAATAACCTAAAGAACATTATTAAAATTTACCAATAGTTAATTGGCCAAATGCTTTTGGGGGCATTGTTTAAGAACTACTACATGCAGAATAGATAGGCTGTTTGTAATTCCACTAGGCTGATTTAGCATTGTGGATGTTACTAACTAATCAGTTTCGATGTTCTTTAATGCAATAACAAAAATAAATGCATTCTAAGCAAAAAAGCAAGCTAGTATGGTTATTTTGCCATTTTTCCTGGCCAATTTTAAACTAAACACTGATATCAACAACACACATAATTGCATTGACAAAATACATTCGTATAGATTAGATTAGATTAGATTAGATTAGATTCAACTTTATTGTCATTGTGCAGAGTACAGGTACAGAGCCAATGAAATGCAGTTAGCATCCAACCAGACGTGCAAAATACACTATTATTTACATATAAAGTGTAAAAGGACGGTATAGTGGTTGAAAAATATATAGATATGCAAGTATAAATATAATATACATACATACAGAGTGAGTGGAGAGAGTACAATGGGTCGTATGTCCTATGAGGTAGCATGTTCTGTGAGAGGAGCATATGTAAACATATGCAGAGTAAACTTGCATAGTAATTGTTGGTGCAAATATGAATAGTGCAGTATACCCTCATATAGTCAGATTAATCAAATGCAAAAGTAGCTAACTAGATTAGCTATTTCCAGAGAGGAACCTTCAGGGTCTTCCAGGCCATCAGAGAAGCCCTAATGATTTCTGTGGTATAGTACAAAGACGTACCTGAAATTTATGGCTCATTTTCATTTTATGAAATTATAATGCTTGTTGTATTTAAACTCTACAAGTATTGTAGTAATGCTTTTATTTTTAAGTTTTGGTTGAGAACAAAAGGGTGTAAAATTTATTGAAACTGAATTCACCCAAATAGGATTTTTTGTCTCAGTATCTAGGTAGATACAGCTAAAAAAAGCTCTCCTATTGGTTTGGACTTTAGGAGCAGAACTGAAGCACTAATGCTTCAGATTAGCCATTAACATAATCAGGAGGTGACAGTAGAATCAGCCAGTCACTTTCATTTATAATGAGTGGAAAGAAATTTGTGATAATAACGTCACTGTAGACGGCATGTGTCAGGCTCCAGTCCTCGCAGGCTAAAACAACGCAGACTTCAGCACACTGCTTTATTAAGCACACCTGATTCAGCTCATCAGCTAATTAGCAAGGCCTTAATGAGCTGAATTCAGAGCATTAGATGTGGATAAATGCTGATTTCCACATCATTTTGGCCTGGAAGGTGCCCACTTGACATGCCTGCTCTAGACCTTCTGTGCTGTGTCTGATTCACTCAGACCAGCACAACACACGCTAACACACCACCACCACCACATCAGTGTTACTGCAGTGCTGAGAATGATCCACCACCCAAATAGTACCTGCTCTGTGAGGGTCCATGGGGGTCCTGACCACTGAAGAACAGGGTAAAAGGGGGCTAACAAAGTATGCAGAGAAACAGATGGACTACAGTCTGTAACTGTAGAACTACAAAGTGCTTCTATATGCTAAATGGAGCTGATAAAATGGACAATGAGTGTAGAAACGAGGAGGTGGTCATAATGTTATGCCTGATCGGTGTATGTTAACACCGAATAACACTGAATGTTCATATGAATCACCGTATATTGACAGCATAACACTACAATCCCATAGGGGTGCTAACAGAAATTAGCATTATCATAGAGATTTTTTGTACCCTGTTTTTGAGAAGTTTAGACATTTATGGCCTGAATGCCTCACAGTTTGCAAATGGCTATATCTAAGGTTATGTTCACACTGCACTAAGTTGTGTTTTGGACGCTGGTATGCTGGTGAGCAGGGTGACCAAGCTGGATGACCAGTTAAACGTGCACCCGACCACCATAAACCAGATTAGACCAGCATGGATGCTGTTTTTTAGCAGGGCAGACCATTTCAATTTGACTTTCCTGCTTAAACACAGTGAGATACACTAAACTATAGAGCTTTCTGTCTCCTGGATGGACCAGTTGAGTTATGCCAATATTTAAACATACACTGAAAGACCACAGTTCCGCAGCACTGTTTACAAAAGACTACCTTAAAGACTTTCTGCAGTGCAAACACATAGCAGGCCTATATAAAACACCACAAACAGAAGATCCCAGTTTACTTTTCATAGAGGATCTCAGGTTTGCTATGAAGAAAGGTATGGCAGTGATACATCAAGAAGTAAAAGAAGTTGATATTACGTTTTTTATAGATGTTTTCAAACACTGTGTGAGTCACAGTCTTGTCTTTCATTGCTGGAACTTGGTGCTGATTCAGGTAGCTTCCTGTAAGTAACACACACTGAAAGACATGCGATACAGTCGTCTTCCCCTGGCCATTTTCAGACACTGGGAAAAACTCAGCTTAGCCTGAGGAACAGCTATCTTCAGCACAAAGCTACTTATCACACCCCTGTCAGTCCTCTGACAAATCCCTCCATCCCAGGAAATTCCCTCGCTCTAGGTGTATTTGTTCACCTCGCCATGTGCCACTTAGAGGTCATTTATGTCACTTTGCCAAACCGCAAAACCCAGTTTATTTTCTCAGTGACTCAGAAAACCTGTGCTTTCGTTGAAAGGCCTGCCCAAACACAAAGGTAAGCGAGCTTGGCTCATGATGGGGAGGTTTCGTTTCTAGCTTTCGGAAGGTGAGTCACCTGCACAGAGCCGTCAGCCATGCTTTTGTTGTTTTGTCTGAATCACGGACGATATCAGGCTCCAGTGCCGCAGTGTCCACCTCTCCTCATGTTATCGTGGGGGGTTTCACTATCACTTCTGTCTTGATCAGGCAGCTTGATTCCTCCGTGGCGCAAAGATCAGATGAGATGGTTCTGATTTGCTGTAGAATGTGTAAAGGTGCATTGACTTGTCAGATGTAAACAAAGTCAATGAGAGTGGTTTGATGCGCATCATAGAGAAACTTAACGACTCATTTTTTTCTTTACATTGATGGTGACAGGAGCCAGGGGTTGTGATGTCTACAACACACATACATCAGATTAACCACCAGTGAAGCTACACATGACTTCTGTTGTATAATGTTGGTAATGGTAAAATAGTATGATGACGTTTTAGGGCCACTGTTAATAAAAATAAAAATAGTAGACTTTGAGAATAAAGTCGTAATGTTTTGAGAAAAAAAATCGTAATATTGATGTATCAGAAGAGACAGGGAGACTGAGTGTTTCTTTATGGGTGAAATCGATATGAAAATATATCTCCACCAACTAACCGCCCTTCATTTTAACACGAGAAGGTGCTGCCTTCCCTTTGCAAAGCTTTTGGCCACAATATTGCGACCTTTCCTGGTATTAATGCCATTTTTATGTTGTAATTCTACAACTTTCTTCTTAAAAATATTACGACTTTTTTCTCAAAAATATTATGACTTTTTCTCTAAATATTACGACTTTTTTCTCAAAAAATATTATGACTTTTTTTCTCTAAATATTATGACTTTTTCTCAAAATATTACGACTTTATTCTCAAAGTCTACTATTTTTTATTTTTATTAATAGTGGCCCTAAAATGCCATCATAAAAATAGTGGTAATTCTGAATTCAAATTCTCTGGGTACTATTTTGCCTTAGGCCAGTGTGCGAGTTTGTAAATCTTGTACTTTGGTTATGACTCACAGTGCAGGTTTGGATCACCCATCACGTACGGCCGAAGATTATGATTTGTATAGTCACATCGCTTGAAAGCACTCAGTTACTCAGTTCCAGAGACATGCTGTGACAACACACTAGCAAGAAATGAGTTTGAATGAGGCCTGAGCAATATCTAAAAATAATGAGCACAATATTTTTTGTTCAAAAAAACGCAATTATCGATTATCTCAATTATATCCAACCAGTTCATGTAGTCCACTGCAGCTTTCATTTTTACTACTACTTCATATTTTTAGTTTTACTTTTTTAACACT